ACAATTGAATTTTTCCCAACGCTCTAACCAATCTAAAAAATAATGTAAAAATATTTTTTTCTCATCATTTTCCGAATTTGTTAGCGGGTTTTGATATACATTGTTTAAACGCATGCCTTTGTTAGGCGATTTAACGTTAACTATATTCCACCATATTACAAATATTTTAATAAAATCAGATGTGTCTTGGAAATGTGCAATATTATTTTGTTTACCTATTTCTAAAAGGCCATTCTTTACATAATCACTGAAAACTTGTAACACAAGTTTAACATTTTGTTTCTCAAGATAACACCTTTTAGGTGAGGAGAGGGATTTAATGCTTTATATGATAAATTAAAACCATATTTTACCAAGGAGTTAAATTCAAGTTTATGCATTTTTTTAAGTGCATTCCATGATGCTGTTTTCAAAGAGGTTTGATTAATATCATTAAATGATGGGAAATACATACATTTTTCACCTTTTTGATTGACCCAGTTGTTACGAACACATTTCAATAAGTGAACAGTATCAACTAAATAAAAATAGAGGTCTAGAATTGCCACAGGGGTGAGGATATACGATTCGTATTTGGGGAGGTGAAACAAAGAATGACATACATTTTCTGTTAATAGAATTATTATCCGTTACGACACATATTACAAAAAAACCAATTTCTTCTAAACCAATAATAATTTTTTTTACAATTTCATGTATTATTTCAGCATTTATTTTATTGGTCGGCAATATATGAATGACATCTTTGTATTTTGAACTTTTGGGCCACTTTTATAATTTCCTTTATACCCGGGAACGCAACAAGGATGAGGCATTCTTCATTCCTGTTTGGAAGCTTAGCTTATATACTATTTTTAATTAATTACCAGTCCTGGAACAAAATAACAACCGAACCAAAGCGCCCGAATACAAATGAAGCAAGTTAACGCCGCGCGAAAACATGTTTGGAGTCTCGGCGGTTAGATCGAGCTCTGTGACGTCACGAGCTTTCAGGGGAGGGAGTGCGGAGGCCTTGAGTCTCGATGGTTACGGCTAAGGTAACTTTTTGAAACTCGTGCACGGGGTAGAGCATGAAGTGGTCATCCAATTTTTCCAAAAAACTGGTTACCGGTGAGTTTCCATTAAACGTTGCTTCTGGTTTCATCGAAGCGCGCATGGTCTGGACGATGTAACCGAATCCTTCCAGGGCGGCAGCTGGCATTTCTGGATTCTGAGCCGTTTCTGCAGGCAGCACAGGTTCTTCTTGAAACTCGGCCATGGTTATTCTTCTTCGTTGGGCGCCACTATCAGGTTCAATGTTCCTTCTAACCTTCTTCGGGAACATACAAGGACCTGACTAGGAACAGAGAGCTTACTAAAGCTATGTTCACTAATTGTAGTAAGTAGACAGGATACAGACGAAGGGTATACAAAACCCTTTATTTTTCTTTATATACAATGACTTCCGTACTTCGGAATACAATGACCCTCCACTCGGGGTCTAACGTAAAAGGTATCAAAATAAAACTAAACTCTAATTTAACTTTAGAATAATACACGTGGAAGATTGGCCTTATAATAACAGGAAGCGTATGTAGCACAGAGACTGTGAACACTACAATACGTTTAATTTATCAAGAGGATTAAAACCTCTGGCCTGGAAGGCAAATAACAACTGCGTAACTTCTAAGGTAAGCGGCCTGCTTCGAACTCACTGCTTCCTCTCTCTTTCGCTTGGCAAAAAGCCACAACTTAAGTACTTGGCGTTCGCCAAACAAACTTTGCATAAAATCCTTCACGCTTATAATTCTGGCCGGAAGTAGAAAATAAGAAGTGATAGTAAAGATTTAAAATAAAATAAACGTTAGTAAAACTTAAGATCCTTACAACCTTTCATTTCAGAAATAAACAGAAGATAGAGATTGGATTTTATGAAATCTCTTGTTAATTTATCAGACGAACTTTGGAAGACAGTTATTTTGTCCGACTAATCAAAGTTTAACATTTTCGAGAGTGATGGACGACAATATATGTAGAGAAAGCCAAACACCGACTGTAAAATATGTTGGAGGGAGCATCATAGTTTGGGGCTGTTATGGCAGCAGACAGCGTTGCCAACCTGTGCTTCATGGATGCTATTATGACAGCACATAAAGACACCCACCGCCTCAATCGCCTGACATAAAGTCAATTGAAAATTTATGGCACAAATTGGACATAGAAGTCAGAAAACATAAAATTTCGTGTAAAGATGAACTTAAGCATATACTCTTGCAAAAATGACACAAAATTCCCAACGGGACTTTGGTTTTTCCCAATAGGACGTTTTCAACAACCAGGAATTTCTCTATGAGAAATAGATTACAGGCTGTTATAAATGCAAAAGGTATGAATACATTCACAAATTGCGCGATAAAATGAAATTCAATGCCCAAAAAACTTGGCTTAGGAACATCATTTGTGTTTCAAACAGGACAATGACTCTAAGGATAGAGTGAACCTCCACCTGGGAATAGTTACTCTATAACGCTCCTCTCCAGTTAAAGACACCGCCTCAATCGCCTGACATAAATTAAATTGAAAAGTTATGGACAAATTGGACCTAGAAGTCAGGAAACATAAAATTTCGTGTAAAGATGAACTAGCAGCATATACTCCTGCAAGAATGGCACAAAATTTCCAACGGGACTTTGGTTTTTTCTAATAGGACGTTTTCAACAACCAGGACTTTCTCTATGAGATACAGATTACAGGCAAAAGGTAAATAAATAAATAATAAATAAATGCAAAAGGTGTGAATAAAAAGTATTAAATTTTGTTCCCACATTTTACTGTATGTTCTTGCCAATACTCTTTTGACATGCAAATTTACGTTTTTGTTGTATATTTTATGTAAAAGGTATACTATAAACGAAAGTTTAATCCGGATTTGCGTCTTTATTGCCTCCTATGTTCATTACGTCCAGCTAAAATTGCCAAGCGTTTCCTTTGTGAACTAGATTGATCACTTATAGGCAACAGCCAATACTTCTTTAACTCACTGTACGTCAGCGTTTTCTAGAACATGAGTTCTGTAAGATTCTGCGAATAAGATTGCTTTTTTGAAAAAGAATCTTTTATTAATAACTTTCCCGGCAGTTTCAAAATGAATGCTCTTCGCTGAATCTCTATACCGCTCTTCAGTTTGTCATAACACCTGAATTTTCGAAACATGAAAGCAAGCTTTAACTATCACGATCAAGTTTTGTTGCTACGGGTATCGAAATTTTTGTGTTTTATGTTATAGAACGGAATTTTTGTGGATGTAGAGGAAGAGGATGTAAGGATTATGTTAATTTTATTAACAGTTAAATTTTAAGTTACTTTCCTGTCAAATTCTTAACTTCAATTTACTACTTCTGGCCAGAACGTAGTTTTAGAATCACGTATGAATACATAATGAGGAAGAGTGGTATTTAACCGTGAAGTTCTTTGGTCTTAGGGAGTTGATAGTTGATAGTTGGCGTTGGACGTGTGCACCATTCCTTTACCGTAATGGTTAATTGGCATATGCAACACGTCCACCTTTATCTTGAGCCAGATGGGCCACACAAGCGCCTCGCACCATACCCCGAAACCCAGCGACCAGGCCATCCAGGTGGCAGTCCAAAAGGCCAAAGAAGCCCCCAGAAGCATGTTCACACCAACCGCCCGGGGCCTAGTATTTATTGAGTCAAAGTTCAACAAATACATGGCCAGACAAGGGCTCAAATAAAATAAATAGATAAATAAAGGGTACATTTGTAGTTTTGACAAAGCATAAGTTACAAAGGTGCAAGTGCCAGTTTTGAGTAATACTATAATCACATAGACAGAATTAGAACAAAACACATACAGATAGCGATAACAATAGAAAAACCTAAAGGAATAAACACCACTACAAAACTACTACTGCTACATACTACAATAACTACAATATTACAAAACTACTACTAGCTAATACTTACAACTACAGTACTACAACTACTGATTACAATGCTAAATATTACAATACTACTGCTACATACTACAATAACTACAATACTAAACTACTACTGCTACATACTACAAAACTACTACTAGAATACTTACAAACAGTACTACAAACTGTTACAATGCCAAATATTACAAAACTGCTACTGCTGCTATATACTAGGCTGATAATAATGCTGATAGTATGATATCGGTGATGTAATGATCTTAATACTGATGGTAGGTTCAATACAATAGTTAGTGTACAAAGCAAGGATACAATACATAAATACATTATGCAACTATATAAATACCAATACAAGGTAAAAAGGATACATTATACAACTATATCTATATATATATATATTATATATATATACATATATATATATGTCGCTGTCATGGTGTTTAAGGGGCCAACTCGATTAGAATCCTGATAGCTTCGACTATATCTCTTTAGTTAATCTTAAGTTTTAGTTTATTTTTTAGTATCTTAAGTTCGAGTCCAAGTGTCGGCTTTTGATTGTACACTCCAAGCCGGAGTGTACAATAAAAGTTAAATCTTATTTGGAATAATAAAAGGTTAGTTACCCTTCTATCTTGTTGTTCCTTGTCATACGAACTATAGCGATTATTCGCTAACTAGTTCTTAAGATTCGTCACTTTCTACAGTAACTGAGATTTACACAGTGAAAGTCTTACAAGGAAAACGGAGTTTTAAAAGGAAGGCTTAAAAATTCTTATTTATGTATCTGTGAGAAAAATTATTTGGCTTTTGGTTGAATACGTTTAAAAAATGCAGTAAAATGCAAGAATAATTTCATCTGTCGCTCTGCAGGAAGTTGAGTATTCGAATAGGGCAGACATATTTCATATTAAAAAATATTTGTAGAATAAATTCTACTAACCTGTGGAAAAACTCTTATTTTGATGCATTCATTTTATGCGTAGTAACATGAATTAACAACATATTTAATTATTAAAATATTATTATTTAAAGAAACATCATAATATTTGCCTACAACACCTACCGAAAGTCCATTGAAAAGCCGACTGCTTCATACACGTGTTTGGCAATTCCTTCGAGATACGTCTCATTTTCTTCATATCGAATGGTCGACCAAGGAATCCACTGCTCATAATAAAATAAGTTAAAACCGGAAATTATCTCATACATGTAAAATATAAAATCTAGCTTTCAACTTATAAATTAATAGCTCTTTAACTCGAAGACTATTAATAGCTGTTTAATTTCATTAATAAATTAATAGCCCTTTAACTTCATTCTAAAAATAACACAGCAATAAATTTTCTAACTAAATGAAAACGATTCATCATCTACTAATTAGTATTTAGCACTTATTGATGAAGTCTGAACCCAAAACCTGTACATTAAACTGCCATGTGATCTGAAATGGAATGCGGTATAAAAGCATAATTGCGTAGCAACTCTCCCTCTTGTATTCCCTTTTGCTTCCAGGCGCATGCGTCGCCTTGCCGCAGAGAAGTTTCTCTTTTTCTAGTTTTTGTCCTTTAGAATTTCTCTTTTGTCCTTTAAGTTTTGTCCTTTAAGAAAAGGCCCACCAGCGGCCGAACGGTAAAGTCTCTGAGCACTGGTAGTTCGGTCAGAGATTCGAATCTCGCGAACGAGCTGGCTGCATTGGTGTTTTCGTGGTTTTCCTCATGTGTAACGTGTATACGAGTAAGTTTCCCTTAGAAAGTTCTCCACGAAGGCATCCCTTCCCTTAGGCAGATAGCCCTCGAGGCTTTGCCGTAATTAAGTAACCTAACCCAACCTAACCGTCCTTTAAGAAAATGTAAACTGTACAAAATTGGGGGTGCATAGCGAACCCACAGTGATAATGTGCATTATTTAGAAATAAAATTATTTGTGAAATTTAGGCCATTGTCTGCATATTTTTTGGTTGATACATCCATCGCTCTAACTACGCAATAAAGTTCTCTTCAAGTTATGATACAGAGAACCGCCGCCAAACCGTTACAATTTACTTCTACCAAGTCATCTTATTACAATAATAATGCAGTCTTATCACAATAATGGAGCACTTTTATTACATACATAGAGAGACAGAGAGAGAGAGTTATATGAAAGTAATAAAAAGTTATCTTATTTGTAAGAAGTTGATTTATTTTCTTAACTTAATGCAAATAGAGGAAAAAAATAGAAAATATAGTTTAGCATTCATATAACACAATTTCAATGACACATTTTGATTCATGAATTTCACTCTGTCCAAATGAAAATTAATTAATAAGAAGTATTTCATTTGGACTTCGAAGTTTCAATATATTGCTCGATTACTGTAAAAAAATCATTCCTGCTTGTATTATTTTTACAAGTAAGCAATTCAGATTTTACTCACCGGAGCATAACGAATTCGAAACTTCGTCATTGCAGAACAACTTATCAACTATATTTTATGTTTCAGTGCCTTTTACTCACATTGGATTCCTTTTTGTATTTGTTTACTGATTTAATGTGATTGTTCTCTCCCACTACAAATGCCATCCACTCAAAACTTTATTTATTTACTTGCATAGCCAAACGCTTTATTTCTTGAAATATTTACTTAGAGCAAACCTCTTTAAACAAATACTAAAATATCAGCAATAGAGCCTACTGCTGTATTATAGAATTACTCTTCACGAAAATTGGTTTATAAACGGATCTAATATTTATCCTTAGTGTTTTTCTTATTTTACATGATTTCGCCATTTGTTGATATAATACTCTAATATCACGCAAACTATAAATTTTTATTTTAGTGTATGACGTCGTATCACAGGTCCTCTAAAATTTCTCATTTTTTAGTATATTTAATCGATTTTAAGGATTGATTTTTATTTTATTTTACAAGAAGAATTTTTTTAAAAGTGCGAATTTTGTAAATAAACATGACTTACGTTTTCTTTGAATCATATGTACGCTATTTTACCAGTGAACGACTGAGAAGACAGCAAAATGCTGGTAATTCAAAATCGATTTAAATCCTGGCCTGCATGGGCGTTTTGACGTTTTTTTCAACGTGTAAAGGGAATATGGTACTTTTCCGTTTTGACGCAAACGATAAAGTCGCAAATAACTGATGCCAGACGGAATATCTTTGTTGGTAACCTTTTACGCCTCAGTTTCAAAACAAGTTGAAGCCATTTCTTATCAGATTGTTTCTTTCAATACTGGCATACAATAATATAGAATTTTTACAACGATATTTAAATTTTATCCCCTAAGACAATTCACGGTAATAAGTCAATTAGTTGTAAGTCAATTAGGTTCTAAGTCAATTAGAACGCAATTACACCGCTCATCCGAAGGCGAAATCAAGTGTTAAATTCATCAATTCTAATGAGAATGCACTAGCGAAGTAAAGCACTGCGGTTTTACATAATTTCTGAGTAAGCTATTCGTACGAATTGAAATAATTCTTGCATTTAAACTTGTATTCCAAATTAAGATTTAACTTGAAATTAATGTAGATAATTACTGAGCGAATTAGATTTTAGTAGCGTAGTTTACGTGAGATGACATCACTTGGGGTCACGTGATACGAACCGGCGAATCAGGATATTGAACCATGAAATCATAGTAAATTCTTAAATTAATGTCTTTTTACAAATTTATTGTCTTTATTTATTGGCTTTTTACAAATTTTAAACCATATTAAAATGTTTATGCCTTCAAAATAAAAAAAAATTCTTAGAATTAACATTTTTTATGTGTATACTGTATGTTGTCGCCAACAAAGTCTGCTTGGCGAGATTTGCGCCGGCGAAACGGAAAAGTACCGGGAATATAAACCAACTTTCCTTAAGAAGTCTTCCCTGAAGGCATCTCTTCCTTTAGGCAGATAGGGGCCCACCAGCGGCCGAGCGGCAAAGTCGCTGAACACTGGTAATTCGGTCCGAGGTTCGAATCCCCCGAGCGGGCTGGCTGCATGGGTGTTTTCCTCCATGTGTAACGTGTATACGAGCCAGTTTTCCTTAGAAAGTTCTCCTTGAAGGCATCCCTCCCCTTAGGCAGATAGCCCTAGTGTGCTTTGCCATAATTAAATACGCACCTTTAGACAGATAACCTTAGTGTGCTTTGCTTTGATATAAACAATCAAAATCCCATGAATTAATAACAAATCGTCATAACATTTTGCTCTGAAAAGATGCATTAAGTTAATTATATTCATACTTCTTTTAACTGAAATATGAAATATTAATATTTTCTCAGCATTCTATAAATCATTAGAATATATTTTATCTATCTAGAGGGCAAAAATTAGTTTGGTTTGGTTTATTGAGATTACGGCAAAGCACACTAGGGCTATCTGCCTAAGGGGAGGTATGTCTTTTTGGAGGGCTTTTTTATAATGGGAACTAGCTCGTGCATACGTTACAGATGGGGAAAACTACGAAAACGCCCATGCAGCCAGCCCGCATGCGGGATTTGAACTTTGGATCGAACTACCAGTGATCAGCGAATTAACCGATCGGCTGCAGGTGCAGTTCAAAAATTAAAAATAGTAATAATATGCTCAGTTCTAATAAACATTGGTTTTCTTTAATATAACATTTTTATAACGCTAATATTCCATAACTACTCCTTTTTTTCCTGTAAAATTTTAAATTCAGCAGTCTATTGTGATGTCTAATGTAAAACATTATTTGTAGACTAAATCAAAAATTCCATCTAAAAAATAAAGCAAAACCTATCTTCAATTAAATTTTAAAAGGAATGTTTTCCGTTATAAGCCAATATTGTGGTAAAGTTTTTCTTAACATAAAAAATATATTTTTTAGGTTAATTATTTCAGTAATAAAAGAACAAAGACTAGAAAGACTAAAATTTAAAAAATATGTAATAAATACATGGAAATAATGCATAATAATGACAATAATAATTCTTAATATAATTATTAAAAAATAAAAAACATAAAAAACATTAAAAATATATCTTTTAGGTTAATTATTTCAAAAATTCAAGAACTAAAATTAGAATGACTCTTTAAAAACATTTTATGTACGATGCTTATTTTGAAAACAAGAATATTTTTATAAGAGATCAGAACTATATACTTATTTTAAAAGTGTCCAATAAACATTTGTCAGCTAAAATCTCTTCGAATGGCCTTTTTGTCTTTATTCCGGTATCTACTGCACATGAATTCATGATGGGAGTATGTTCCCTACCTGTATCAAGTGGTTGCCTATACCTGCTTAAAAGATATTTGATGTGTATCATCCTGAAACTAAAAGTATATCCATTCCAATAAACCCATCAAAACTTAAAGTATATGGCTTTTTAAATTGTAATTGTATGGCTGTTTTAACAAACAGTAAGTGTACAATCGCTAGAGCACAACTGAGTTCGGCTTGAGTTCAAATATAATGCATGTTCAAATATAATGAAAAAATTTTTCATGGTTTACCCTTGTGTAAATGAATGCAATTCAATGCCTTTGAAAAGTCCTCCTCGAAAGCATCTCTGACCTTAAGCAGATAGACCTTGTGTGCTTTGACATAATGCAGATAACCTAAATCATGTACTTATTCAGGCTGCCGCTTTTCAGTTGTCATTTTCTCAGCGTAGATCCAAAACAATAAACATAAGATTACTTAAGTATGAATTAACTGATCATTACTTATTATTAATTGATCATTACTTAGTCTTACGAATGTCTTATATATAGTTGCATAAGACTGAAAGAAAAATGTTATATCAGTTTGTTGTTTTTAGACAAAATTTACCGTTGAATAAGCACGAATACGAATACGAACATTATTTGCTGGTCAAATAATTGCTGGTCTGTTGCATGAAGCGCAGTTTGACTGTTGAATGAGACTCAAGGTTGGAGTTTTCGATCCCTTATGATAACCATATTTAAATCATCTTCGAACGTGAACTGCTAATAGCACTTACGATTGCCGAAGCTTATGTAACAATTTTCGTTAAAAAATCTCTCCCTAGTTTCATTTTATTTCAAGATTAGTGTACTGTTCCATGGATTTTAAATTGCAGACGATAAATCGCCAATTCAGGAGTACCGAAAAAATTAACTGCGCATCACTGGAATGGCAACAAAAGATATTCTACTGACATTTTATTGATCGTAACTAATAAAAGAACTTAGTAAACTGTTAATAGTTTTGTGTTTGTAAAAAATTAAACAGAAATTATGCTAAGATTGTCAAAAATGGTAATTTCGTTTGAAGAATGACTAGGAATTTAGTTGAAGAATCATTACAAATAACTAGAATCTACATCTCGGCATGGAAGAAGTTTAATTACTAGCATTCGGAAACACAAAGTAAGATATGATTCTTCTTTTTCTGAATTGTTCTGTTCATATAAAGAAGTAACAAAAAATGTTTAACATCAAGGCGTGAGAAGGGACAAGTTGTGAAATTTGTACTTTAAAGCGATTAACATAAAAGAACATACTATTTTAAAATTTCTTTGCTCTGATTTTAAGAAATATGTTTTTTCTAAAATTTTAGTATTTGCAATCTATATAAGAAATATAATAGTTACTTGCAGAAAGAGAAGTAGAGGAATGTAAATGTGTATTTTACAATTAACATTTTGAATTAAAAATTTTCACGAGCTACAATATAAAATTCACAAAATTCATGTATTTAAACCGTATAACATGTTTTAATTTATTAATATAATAATAATGGTTTGCTGAAAGAATTTTCATGCAATTAATTTTAAACGGAAAAATACAAAAATACGTTAATAATATATGAAGTTTTATTGCTTTAGAATCATTAACTAATATTCATAATCGTACAAAAAATTATTAAACTAAAAATATTTTAAACTTTTAATTTTATCAAATAATGTTAAGAGTTAGTTGTTGTGTCAATACTGAAACCTGTTAGTCTTTTCTAGATTACGAATTGTATAACATTCTAAAAACAGGATATCTTTTTTGAAAATGTTTATACTGATAAATATATTTTTCATGGCAACCTACATAAAAATACACGTCCTTTAATCTAAAAACATATGATACCTTTACACCTTTTCAATTTGTGTACTGGCACTGAATAGGATCTCCAAATCTAAAATTTTAAGTACTTCGCAAATATTTATCGTACAGGAATCATACATTTTGCACTTTTTTAATAATGAGTATAGAATCTTTCTGGATGCAAATATAGGGTCCAGAAACACGTTTAAAGTTAGATTTCGTATAAAATTTGCAAAATTGATTTTTTTGAATTAAAAGGTCTCAAAAGATTTGAATAGTTGCAACATTTGAAACATTTTTGTAACTAAACATATGTATCTACAACCAACAGTTTCGAAAAGAAAGGGCTTTTGTGGACAGAGTGTATTGTAGAAATAAATATGTATTATATGTCAATTTAAAAGTTAAATAACAAAAATCAGCGTTGAGAAAATTTGCAAATATAACGCTGATTTTTGTTGTTTGACTTCTAAATTAAGGCTCTACTCTTATATGCGTCTGGAGTGGTTTAATTGCTCGTTGGTTCGTGTCGTGCGTGTTTTGAAAAATGGCCTATGTTGCAGTGATCGAAGTTGTGGCAAGATTTCAGTCGCGTATTTTAGATTGTGTGAGAAGTAAATTTAGTATTAAAAGGTACTATGTTGGAGTTGTTAACGAGTCTTTTGTTCACGGGTGTGTTTATGAGGATTGAAGAGTATTTTGGAATTTCTGTGTGACTTTTAAAACAGAGTCCGAAATGCGGAGCTGCTATGAGAACTCGGACGAAGAAGGGCGTTTCTGATAGTTCTTGTTTGGATTTACAGTCAAATGGTTGCTGATAAAGTATGTGGCTGTCAGCGGAGTTTAAGATTTGGTTTGTGTTTTTCGTGTAGTATGTTAACTTTGGAGGAAGTTTTTATCGTTACTTTCGAAATTTTGAATCCCAGAAAGACATGTGTGTATCGTGGCACTTTTGTTCAGAGACGTTGTGTGACTGGCGAAATTTTATTCAGGAATGTATTATGGTAAGTGCATTTTATTTTACTGCTTTTATTTTGTAGAATGTTATGTTCATTGTTTTTTTACGATGAATTTCTGTTGTTATTGTTGTTTTTTGAATTGTTTGTAATTTAGTTTAGTTTATTTGGTTGATTTGTGCGCAATGCCTAGATTGTGCAATTCGTAGATGATTTTTTTTAGTTTAAACAGAATGCTGCGTGCATGGTATTATTTGAAATTTATTGTTTTTATGTTAATTTATTGAAGCGAGGTGTGCATAGTTCGTAGATTCCTTCGCTGCCTTGAATGTGCAATTCGTAGATGTTTTTTGATGTTAAAACGTATCGCTGTGTACATGGATTCTTGTCAAATATTTTTGGTTGGAAACTTTAGGTTTTTGCTATCTAAAGTTTTTGTCTCGGATATTTAGCTTAAATCGTGTCTTCAAAACGTTGTTTCTGCATGTGCGAAAACCGCGTTTTTGGACATATTTTAGGCTTAAAATTCGAAATGTAGACAAAAAATTTAGGTAGTAATATGGCGGCGTAAAGTTTCTCACTGAAAATGTTTGGCGAAAAATTTGGCGACCTGAGGGCGCACGTAAGAGTAGTTTCTAAATTAATATTTATTCTGCGTGTTATTTTAACTTAAATGATCATTCAAATGTTATATGGCCAACCAAATGTTCTGAGAATTTCAAGAACGCTATACCTTTGTAAGTCTAGTATTAAGTATTTAAGAGTCTATTATCTTTGTAAGACCTAAACAGAGACTGAATGAAGATTATGTGAAATATATATAAGGTAAAAAATATGTAAATCAAAATTATAATTTAAACTAACAAGTAACCCTTTATTTCTTCCTCTTTGTTCTAAAAATTGTAACAACTTCTCTGGGATTACACCATTTCTAGATCATTCTTTCTTGCATGAACTGCGCAAAACTGATGACGTAAAAAAATGTTATGGGGTTCCAACCTAGAATGTTGAGTTAAATATGTGGAACCTCGAGGAACATATCTGGATTTTACCTCCCACGAAGGTTACTAAGTACCTCGGTAATGTGTGTTGAAGCAAAACACACCAACGTGAGGCTAGCCCAGTGCCGAAGGCCCTTTAGGCACGAGTGTGTAGCTGGATTATCTTTGGGGATAAAATGAATTAAGATCACAAGAATTTGGCGTTAATTCAAGTGTGGTTCCGAGAGTGGTATCTGTAAATTGTTACAGTATATATGAAGAATAGCTTTGGAATGTCAGACAGACGAAGGATTCCAATAGCAACCAGATTCAAGGCAAACAGGCTCCAAACGAATAATGAGTATCCTTCACAGTAACCGGAAGCCAGGATTGAAAGACGCTGTAATGTTCCAATCCATAATTTACAGCTAAATGTGTGGAAACTTGAGAACGAATAATCGCTTTAGTTCAGTAGACAGAGAACAGGTATTCAGGAAGGGTTAATTACCCTTTGTTCAAAATAAAGTTTACAGATGACCCTTTCTCAGGAAGTACATAAAAGCCTCCACTTGGGCTTGAACTCAAGAATACTAAGAACTAAAACTTAACTAATGCTTAATTAAAAAGATATAACAGAAGCTATCAAAATTCTACAGGAGCTGGCCCTTTAAACGCTAACTAAATGGCGAAGTTATCAAGATCCTAAAATACGGCCGAGCGTAATAATAGCTTGGAGAGAGTGTAGCCAAAACGCGAACGCTCGCTAGTCAGAATCTCTGGCTCTCTAATGAAGTCAGTGGAACTTCGACTTTAAGTACTGCTCTTAGCGAGCACAACGAAATTACATCCAAGCAGCGCACAGAGCGAAGCTGAAGTGCATAGTTATCCAATATGAAAGCTCACCAAGAGGAAGGTTTTGGTTTAGTTTAGAAAAGTTTCAGTTCCCAAGAGTTACGTCATCAGTTTTTCGTAGTTCATGCAAGATGGAATGATCTACAAATGACGCAATCCAGAGAAGTTATTATTACGAATTTTAGAACAGAGAGAGAAAATTAAAGGGTTACTTGGTAAAGGGCTAAATTATAACTTTGATTTACATATTCCTCTCCTTCAAACAGATGGGCCCACCAGCGGCCGAGCGGTAACGTCGCTGAACACTGGTAGTTCGGTTCGAGGTTCGAATCCCGCGAACGGGCAGTCTGCATGGGTGTTTTCGTGGTTTTCCCCATACGTGTATACGAGCCAGTTTCCCTTAAAAAGTCCTCCACGAAGGCATCCCTCCCTTACGGCAGATAGCCCTCGAGTGCTTTGCCGTAATCTAATAAACCAAACCAAACCAAACTTTCAAACAGAAAAATCCTTGGCGACAGAAAAGCTTTTTTAGAAGGAAGCTTTACAGCAGTAGCAAAAGAAAGGAAAATACAATAGTTGAAAAAAAAAAAGCTATAGAATTTTGTTCTAAATAATTTTTTAAAATAACAAAATCTTATAAATATCATTTTTAACGATAAATGCAAATTGAAAGATTATTTTTCTGTAAAATCACTGAAGAAATATCCTAATTTTTCCAAGAGATACTGGAAAAGTTCACAGTTCTGTAAAATCTTTGCTTGAATATCATAATCATAACATTTTGCAGTCCTTAGCTTGAAAGTCTTTCATAAAAATTGATGTTGCCAATATAAAACCAAAATTTTCTTTTGCAGATTTATGAAAGTTGAATTAATTATTTAACCCTTATAAAATAATCCATATTTTCTTATTCGTAAAGCAATGTAAAATTGAATTTAGAATTTAATTCACAGTACGTAACAAAATTCAGTACAATAACAAAATAAGCTTTGATAAAAAATTAGCGAAATCCTCTACAATGCAAATCAGCGTGACAACTTGCTGATGGCTGTAGGATGCTTAAATACAATTATACATAGAAGCCTCCGTTCCTTACTAAAAACTGGCTTCTAGTATTTGTATAATTATCAAAGTATGCATTTATAATTTATGGCCATAAAAATCTTCCAGCTAGATAAATGAAATGAAAAATAAATATACAAAAATTAAATATATATTTAATTCTACACTGCCCTACAATAATAATATGGACCATATAATTTTGTGAACACAACATAAGAAAATAAATTTCATAATTATATCCGTTTAGGGAAGGTTTTTAAAACTTTTCAAATGTAAAAATTTCAAACACATCTGTTAACATTAACAAAATCGCAAAAAAATCTAAATATTATAATGTAATTAAATTTTCATTTGTAATATCATTTGAAATAAAAGCACAAAATATTGTTTAAGAACTAACTCAGTATTTCCGATATAATTTTAAATTTTCAAATTTCGAGAGTTTATTTAATGTTATTTTGTAAATGATGTATGCTAAACGTTTTTCATTACCATGAATAAGTGATTTTTAATTAAGTACTGGTTTGAAATTTAGGTATCTAATGTTTGTATTAGATTTAAAACATTTATTACTGTTTTTATGAAAACAATTAGAATTTTATGATACCAAAAAATCTAGTTTTTCCTAATTATGTTTTACATAATAACGAATTTAAAGATTTATAATTATTTTATTTGGGTAAAATTACTAAAATTACTGTAGTAATAATTAGAAATAAGATTATTGTTTAAAAAATTAGAATTTAAAAAAATTCTCAATTATTTTAAGTGAGTATATGTAAAAAATGAATGTAATTTTGAAAAACTGATACAGAAGGGTTTTGAATATGATGAAGAAAATATGTTTTTTATGATGAATATATAAAAATACTAAAAAGAATAACTGCAGGTAAAGATCAGAATATGATGAGGGATTATTTGTTCAAACCAGAGGCCCTGCTTTTACCTCTGTTATTTGTTCTTTACCCTTCTCACATCAGAAGATATAAACTTTGAAGGTTTCCACTGTATAATTTTTCATATAATTATTTTTCTATATATATGGAGTGTGTTAATTTAAAATGGAATGTATTGAAGTTCAAAAAGGCCAGTTGCCTTTAAACAAGGAACGGAAGCCTTTATAAATAACTGTCAAAGAAACTCTTAACCACTCATGATATTACATGAGTTAGTTTTAAGCGGTTTTGCTCAACAGATGGAAATGTTTGTACTAGAGAAAGCTGTGGGGTCTTCTAGTTTTGTGTAAAATAAGAAAATTCGAAATCTATCACAGTAAAAACCATAATTTTAGTAATATTATTATAACCTGTTTCGGTTAACCAATTAGTTATACAGACTCAAGAAAAGCATGTATCAGAAGTACTAACTCTGTAGACAAAACTGGTAATGCCAGAATACTGAAGTGCAATCAATAGTCAGCTGAAGAACTAAATTTATTGATTGCACCGATATGGTAAGTTCTTCCATCTTAAGCTAGTCATTTCGCCTAGAATACAAGCATATAAGGGGTAGAGTAGACTTTAAAGTACCCCTTGTATTATGGGGAAATTGTTGTTTGATTTATCGCCAAGTTGTTGTTTCATTTATGGTAGCCTGAGTAGTTGAATGTTATGGAAACCCTATTTTGACGTAATCGGGTGCATGATTCTGGGAAATTTTGAATCACGGGTTGTTTTGTAACCGTTTTTGCGGTGTGTGTTAAAATCGTTTAGATGGGTTTGAATGGGTTTGTAGGAAGAAAGTTTCAGAAGGTCACTATGTAAAGCGTTCGATCAGAAAGAGTACCTGGTTTGAAAAAAGTCATTTGAGTATGACTGATATTTTGATTTTTACGTGGATCTGGGTGTACGAAGCGAATTTGAAAATCATCGTAAGTGAATATTTGCTTTTGGTAGTGCTTAAATGTATAACATGTTTTTCTTTTTTATGTTATTTTATTGTTTGGTTTAAAATGTATTTTATTAAGATTATGTATTTTTGTTTGCCTATAATGTAGAATTTGGTGCTCCTTTGACTTTGTAAGTGAAAATATATTGATGTGTACACGGACAAAGTAAAGGGAGTGCGCAATGCAAGTTTGGGCAATTCTGGAATTTTTTTTAAAGTGAAAATAGGTCGACGTGTACATGGATAAAGTTAAAAGAGTGCGCAATGTATTTTTGTGCAATTCGGGGATTTTTTTTAAAGTGAAAATAAGTCGATGTGTACATGGATACCGAGTTTGTGCAATTGTTTGTCTTGTTATTTTGGCTTTGTGTAGCGGCGATTTTTGCGCCAAAAATCGCCGCTTCGCAAGCCAAAATAACGAGTCAAAGAATTGCACAAAATCGGTATCTATGTTTCGCCAAGGGGTACCCTAAACTATACTTTTACCCTGAAATGTATCTACGGGTTGTGCAAAATTGCTTCGAGTGCCGGATGCGGCCAGCTAGTTCGAGAACACTGCTTTAGAAGCCTTCAGACAATTCATATTGAGCTAGATGAAGTGTATTAACTCGCAGTTTTGTTATCACGTAAAGTGTGTACTGTTTGTATTGCCTTGAAGCAATTACAGAATCAGATGTCTTTCACAGTAGTATAATTTCCAGAATTCTAATCTAAATTTTAATAATAAATTTCCATTAATTTTTATATTTTTCATTTATTATATCTTCATTTATTATTTTATATTTGGATGATTCGTCCAACTTGGCGGCATTCGAAGTTCTCAAAACTGGGAGTTTGAAAATTTTGAAAGTTTCCAAATAGGGCTACACCGCTAAATTTCGTCATGTTTTGCGGCCCACCAACGGCCGAGCGGTAAAGTCGCTGAACACTGGTAGTTCCGTCCGAGGTTCGAATCCCGCGAACGGGCTGGCTGCATGGGTGTTTTCGTGGTTTTCCCCATGTGTAACGTGTATACGAGCCAGTTTCCCTTAGAAAGTCCTCCACGAAAGGCATCCCTCCCCTTAGGCAGATAGCCCTAGTGTGCTTTGCCGTAATTAAATACACCAACACACACCGTCATGTTTTGCAATTTTTCAAATGTTTATTTATACAATATTAATAGTCAATTCTTTTACTGTCACGTATTTCTAAATGACTGATAGTTCTTTTTTCGTCAAAACTGAGAGCTGAAAGACTTTCCTAGTTAGGAAGTTGTCTTGGAACATATCTCTTACTTGGCACATACCTTTATTTACTAAATTGTTTAGTTAAAATCAACCAAAAGGCGTAAAATGGAAATAAAGAACTGTTTTTTCATTAAAAATGTATTTGTGAAAAATATCAAAATATATCAAAAATAAATTTTAATCTAACTTACAAAATTAATTACTGTAAATATGCACGTAAATTTACATAAATCTCTTAAAACTACATTTTCTCCATACTCGGTTAATTAAAATTTGTATTTAGGAACAATTTTATGAGTTTTCGGTAATAATGCAGAAAATTCATAAATAAAGAAATTCGATAAATTACTCTATTTTTATTAGTCAGATTTCGTATATCAGAAAATACATAAATGATTTCAATTACACACTAAATTAGATGTGAGATTGTAATTAAAATGAATATGGATTAATTTGTATCTTGAAAATGTCACACAAAATTGAAAATTAATTTTATTTTAGTTTTCGGATTTTTCTATTGCTTACAAATTCTAGTACAAATGCCACAGTAGACAACAGAGTTCCGACAGTATATATAATAAAAGCACCGAAAACATCTTTCATTTCCAAAGGCTTGGTACTCGTGGTTCCAGTTCGTGTGCAGGTGTCATAGTAAGCTGTAGAACTAGAAATCCAGCGTTTCGTAAGGTGAGCTTCATTGTACCACAAAAGCCTATAAAATATTACATACGGTTAGAAATATCATGAGCCAATGAGATTCTGAAGGCTACAGGCATTATTTTGAAAAATAAATAAATAAATAAATAAATAAATAAAAATAAAAATAAATAAATAAATAAATAAAAAATAAATAAATAAAAATATAAAAAGTAAAAATAAATACATAAAAATTAAAAAAATAAAAATAAAAAAGTAAACAAAATAGCATATTACTTTTAATTGATTATTAAATATATAATCCATTTCCTGAAAATTTTACTAATTCAATAACATTAACTATTCAACACCTACATACAAGTCAATTGTAACAACAAGTAATTAACGATTTTACATAACTAATTTATTCGAAATAAAGGTAAGTTTCGTTGTTTATGCCCTTCTTTTCATCGAATCTCTTCCGTTTGACAGTTATGTTAATCTATTTTCTTAAAATAAACTTTCACGGATGCTTTAATCAGCCATTCTTCGTCTTTCAATTAATTTAAATATTTTTGGATACCTAAATTATTCTCTTTTACTGAGCTAAATTTCTTATTTTGACATCATTTTGATAAATCGAGATTTTCTTGAAGATACTGTCGGCCGTGTTCAAGAGAGGCAGGTATTTGTAATGAGCACCAATTCAAAAGTCACGATTGAGTCAAAATCAGTTATAATTTCATCTGTCGCTTAATATATTAGAACATAGAGTTTGCCCATAGCTGTCTTGATAATATGAGTCAGAGAAGAGGAAAAAAGAAAATGGAAAAATGAAGGAAGAGGAAAAGAGGTTCTTCAAAATAACAATGGAATTTTAACTAATTTAATATAAATAAATATAACTAGAAACATAAAAATACGTACTTTCGCAGCATTTTAATTAGCAAAAGACAAAGATCGTTTATGACCTTCTTTAACGCAAAAGTTGTAGAAACAATTTTTTTTTTTTTTTTTTTTTTTTTTTTTTTTTTTTTTTTTTTGTTGTTGTAAGCAGAAGACACGAAAAATCATCAGTGCCCTCGCCGGGATTCGAATCTGGACCTCTCACATATGCATCAAGTATGCTTCCAGTTACACCACGAAGGCATGTAGAAAAGACGGAGGCTAATCTTTGGAATATGGTAACAGGTAGTTTGGCGACATTTTGGTAACGCGATAAAGGTTACTAGCTAGGACTTTAGCAGTGTACATGGATAAAGTCAAGGGTGTGCGCAATGCCATTTTTGTGCAATTCTGGGATGTTTTTTTAAGTGAAAATAGGTCGACGTGTATATGGATGATACCGTTGTATGTGCAATTCTTAAAAACGCGGCAAGCAGTGGGCTATTCTGCACTTTCTCCCAATTTCGCACCTAATCTTCGTCATGATTAAGCACTTTTGTTCCATAAAAGCTCTAGCATAAGCGTAATTCGGCTAGCAGATTGTTGGAAAAAAATATTGAGGGAAAAAAAAAAAAAAAAAAAAGACATGTCTTTACTTTGTGAAAACAAAATGGCATCCAAACAAAAACTAGCAGGTTGCTGTAGCAGGGTTGGTCGCCAAAAAATCGCCAAGTTACCATAATCCGAATATTAACCAAGGCGGAATTAATAAATAAATAAAACTGTAGTAAAGTTATATAAAAAATAAATCGCAAAGTTGTATAAAAATAAACATTTATATATAAAAACCTTATAAAATTAATTTATGAATTCCGCTCATAACTCTTCTGGAAATTATTTGACCGATGCTATACTTGCTAAGTTTTAAAATGTTGATTGAAATCGTGCTGAAGCTGTTGGCTTCATTTCTATATCAATCGAAATGATTTCGCGACTTAATATTTCACTTGACTACATTTCTGTATCATATGGCAATTTTTAAATTTTGTTTTGACCTTATCTGGCGACTTTACTTCAATTTAAAAAAGTTAGTAATATTTTGATCACAGTAACCGAATTTTTTATTATAATTAGAGACATCTTTTCATGTTTTCGTATGCAAACGTTGAGGAACTTTGGCAATTCGATAATAATATCCGAATGATATCAATAATCGCCATCATATTACGCGGCGTCTTGTACATGAAATAAGCTCATCTAATCTAAGTACACATTTAATAAAGAAGCTGTGATACGAATAATAACCCCGATCTAGAACTCTGTAAAGATATATTAAATAGTGCATAATTTGCTCTAAGTAGTAATAGAACTTTAGCTATTGTAATTCAGTTTCGATTAGCTTTGAAGATTTTGGTTTAGCATCTTAGTATTCCCTCTACCTTTTGTAGAAAAGAAATAATTTCTGAATTCAACTCACCTTTTATTAAAATTATTGAAAATTTTCCTTGGAAAATGTTTCCTGAATGCAATGGCAATGTACGCAGTGCAAAAATCTGTAGGAATCACACGAACTCCACAGTGCCCAGTCTTCTTAAATCTCTCACCGACTAGCGATTTCATGAACAGTGTTTCAGCCACAAACACAGACTTCTCATTTTCAATGTCGTCCATCCATGATGGAGTTTCGTTTCGTGGAGGCAGTTTCCAATTCCCCTGTACCCTTTGCCATAAGGAATCCAATTCTGTTCCACGTAACCTCTGAAAAATGATAGCCAATTTGAGAAACTTATTAATTTATGTCATTCAGTATTCCTCCCATCATAAATAATATTGACAACAGCAATGGTCAAAAATACATAAGAAACTTTATAGCCCATCACTGGCCAAGTAAATAATATGTGGAGAAAGTTCCTACTGCTGGGTATGCTGTATGGCATTTACAGAGGCCTTTTTCCATATTTAATGTGATAATGAACCAGTTTCGCTTAAATAGTCTTTCAAGAAATCATCCCTACTTTTAACCTTAGTGTGATTTACTGTAATCAAATAATACAGCCCAGGATGGTTTATGAACGGAAGATCAGTGAATTAACAAAAATCTGTGATTTTGAAGTAATCTCGAAAACGTTGTCAATGATCTCATCTGGAAACTTTGCTGACTTTACTTTCTACCAGGGTTAGGAATGAAGACTAAGTCTGTGCAGGATCCATTTGCTACGTTAAATACATTTTTGTAGGCAATTTTTGTGCTAAAGAAGTTTGAATGGATTAGATTATAACAAAGCAAGCGAGGCTTTGCTTCTAAGTGGAGGGCTGCCGTCATGAAGGATTTCTTAGAGGAAATTGACTTATATTCATATTATAAACGGAGAAAACCATGGAAAGTTCCAGGTAGGCATACTTTCATGTACCAAAGAATGAACGGTAATTTCTTTGGCTATACGCTAAAGACAGGACATACTGAGACGGCGATAAGATTTCCTGTTATATCGCTCGAACAGTGCATCCAGAGTGAAGAAGCACATTATTTCCAAGGGTCATTAATGTTTGTATTGTCTATATTACACATTGCATGCAGTACAATAAATGCCTTTATATATAATGTTATTTCACAATCACAATGTTATTGCATGCACTCACCGTCTTTCAGTTATCAGTTAAAACTGATGCATACAATATTCGTAAATTAATTTTGCCATTCTATTAAATAAAATATTCTATAAAAATAATAATTGACTGTGTATAAATGCAGCAATAATTAAAAGGTTCTTTCCTTTAACTTTTCTTTAACAATGGAACTAAGGGAATTGTTTAATTATGTCCCCCCTTTAAAAAAAGAACAGAATTAAGACAATCATACTCTGTTCCAAAATTTTTTGGCTCTCATCATTCCATTTCTCGGCTGTTATCGTTCCATGTTTGAGCTGTTAGTGTTCCGTTTTTCGAATCTTATGTTTTTAATTCCTTGTACGAAGTAAAAAGGAAGTATTGTAATCGCGAAATGTTTCAGGCAGCATATTTCAACGAAAATATCCATTTTGACCGCTATCGAATGCAATTTAACGATGATTTTGCGTGATATCTGTACTTAAGGACAGAATAAAAGACTCGTTTCCTCCAAAAAAATTATAAAACTGCTTTAAAATTAATTCTGAAGAGAATTTTTCGTGACGTCTGTACGAACGTATGTACGTACCTTCGTATCTCGCATAACTCAAAAACGAGTAGCCTCAGAACGTTGAAATTTTGTATATAGGACTGCTATAACATGTAGATGTGCACCTCGTATTTTGGTTGCAATCGGCCGCACCAAACGTATATAAATATATTTGTATATATATCCACTCTGTTAACCGGCTCAGTGATCTCAGTTTCTTTACTATTATATGTTTGTAAATTGTATACTTTTTGCTTTAAAAATGATTGAATTATAATGTTTTTATCTTCCGTTTAAGGTTTTTAGGCCTTTAGTAAATTTGTATGCAATATGTTTAGAATTATCAACAATTTTAAAGTTGTTTAAGTGCCGCTAAGCCTTTTTTTATGGTGGCGATTGATTGTTTACATTTGAAACAGCAGACTAGTGGATTTGTTACTAATCTAGGGAAACTTAGCTTCGCAACAACGAAGATAACGCCTTCATTTATTATTGCCAATTAAATCATGCTTAATCCTTTCTGGAATTTTTTCGAGGAAATAAGTGCTTAAGATTTACTTCGTAATTTTTAATATAGATATTTTGAGTTTTTATGTATTTTTGCCTTCTCGCGAAGTGAGAACTGAATTAATTAAATGAGAAATATTCAACCGTCTGTGAAAAACTGTTTCTTTTTTGTTTTAGTTGCTTAATTTCTTTTATACATCATTCTAGCTTTATTATTTATTATAGTATTTGAATAGAACATGTGGCAACGATTAGATAATTCTATTCTTTAAATGATATAAATTTTGTGCATTATGAGTTATAATATGAACGAAATATAATACTGTTAAGTGAAACTAGCGCCAGAGTGTCGCTACGGTAAACAAATACTAGGGTGAATTTTAAAGAATGCATTTATTCTATTGTGGTTTATGCGCTCTCGGCGAAGTAGGTTTAATTCAATCCAATAAGTTTAAATGAAATGCAAGAAAATGTGCGTATAATTTAATTTTCCGTACAAGGACATGTGGTGTACACATCAGATTTTTTTGGTTTTTAAAAAAATTGTTTAAATAACTGTACGTTGTTTTTTATTATTTCCAATATCGCTTACCATTGTTTACTTGTTTCTTTCGTGTATTTGGAAAGTAAAATAATCTGAAGTATTCATTAAACATATATATAAATCGCACATATAAAATAAAATTTCTTTCGATATATATAAATATGTGATGATATACATATGTATATGTAATACGATGAGAAAAGCTGCAATAGATTGGCGATGGTTCTTTGCATTAACATTTGGAGAGACTAAAGTGCGTAGTTAGAAAAGATGACACTCGAAGGAGAGACCTTGTGGACAAATGTGGCCGAATTGAACATAATTTAATTGCTGGACATGAACTAATTATCTAAAGTATGTACTCCACAATTTTATGTAGATTGTCACATTTTAGATGATGGCGTAGTTAGCAGTACGACAGCGCAAAGGGAGCGAAGTAGCATCTTAACTGCAAGAGAGCTGAAGCGAAAGTGCGCAGTTATCCATACGAAAGCTGATCAAAGAAGGTTTTGGTTTAAGTTAGAAAGGTTTCAGTTCTCAAAATTTTTAGTTCAAATTCCCAATTAGCTGCGTCATCAGCGTTACACAATCTATATGACATAGATGAATCTAGAAATGACGCAATCCAAAATGTTATTACTGTTTTTAGAATACAGAGAAGAAATACCCAATGTAAGCAATGAGAAATTAAGAGTCTATTACCAAATTACACTATAAGGCCTATTTACATATTTTTTATCTTACATATATATGTAATATATATATTCGTTAATGGATAGTTTTTATAGCATTTTTCATTGCATATTTTATTTAGAACTCGTAGCTTCATTTTAATCTTACCTCAAAGCAAGTCTGAGGATAAGAATTTTTGAAAGTTGCAATAGTAACCCCAGTGTCTTTCACTAATTCTTCTATAGTCTGAATTCTGGGTTTCAGCTTATCTGCAGCAAATGCGGATACAATAGAACCTTCATAAGTATATCTGAGTACGAGTGCTGGTCCTGTTAACCAGAGGAACAGAAAAAATTTAAAACCGGGAGATAACCAGATGTGCTTCAAGTACCATCTGTGATTTGATCCATAGTCTGAAAATAAAAATGCAATAAATTATGAAGCAATGGTTACACTTTACTCTTTTCTACTATGTTATATGATTGCTAGCCGTGATTAAAAGCTCTAAAAGCGTAATAAGGTAACATAAAATAGTTATATTTTTCAAAATACCGTATTTCCTCGCGTGTTTTTCTCCATTTTTGACTAATTTTATTATCCGAAAAATTGAGGGGAGGATGAGGAGAGAACAAATGAAAAGTAGACATAGATAAACTTAAGGTAACTATCATAATATTATTTCTTTAAAAGAAACCTATTGATTCCAATAAGTATGTATGAAAATATTATAACTACCATAGGGTAAACTTGGCAAATATGGACCCCAAAACACTTAATTGAAAATATACTACACTAAAACACTTCCATTTCTCTGAAATTAATGTATTTCAAACTTTAGGGTATGATCTTTCTAATAGTTATATGAAAAAACTTCTAACTCTTATTGCTATGTGTATAAAGAAGGTGCGCAATAAATTCTGTAATTGCCCATATTTGATTAATACTTTAGGTAATATGGGCATAATTTCCAGAAATATGGGCAGGTTGCATTATTAAAAAGATAAGAAATTTGCCATCTCTACATTTACCTTTTCCAAACAGAAATGCATTTTTATACAAATTATAAGTTTGGCAAATGATAAGAAGTAAAATTAAACTTTTGTTATTGAACAAATTATATCACAAAAAATGTTCAACATTAATATACGTTATACAAACGTTTCATACTTTTCCGGTAACATACGTATATAAACCATAAGATGAATTATTAATTCTAGGAAAACCATCATTTGTACACGAAATAAAATTATAAAGGTAATACGGAATTAATTAAATTGGTAATACGGAAAACAATTTTAAAAAATTAACAAATGTGCTAAAATTGGTATGTTGGAGTAGGTCATTACAGTTCATAAAGTTCCTTTATAACATATTCACAAAAGGAAAAGTTCATTTAAGTTATGAAGCATTGCTTAAGCAGCATTGCTAAATTTATGCAACATTTATTAAGTTGTTTTAGTTGATATATGAAATTTGAACGAGGCCGTGGGCAGGGTGACTTCAGTACCATCATGGTTAAGAGCTGCTTCTTTGGCTAATTAGTTTGCCTGATCTTTAACAAAATCGCCACCATTGCCTCTGATCCAACGAATTTCAGTTTTATAGTTTGGAATTGTCGGACATTATTAGAGAGGAGATGAAAGGATTCTTAATCACTAAAATAGCTACATAAGAATCAGAATATTTTTATAGATGAGAAATATAGAAAACTTTCTTGGTTATTGTTAACTCAACGTATTTGATTGCAACCACAGACTTGATCTTTGATTATAAATTTTCAATATTAAGATTTTGAAAGTGTTTTACTCTAGTTTATGGATTACTAAGACTTATTATGTGAGATTCGCAGTTTTGGGTTTTTGGAATAAATGGTAAAATATCTGAAATATTTTATTACAGTTATCTTGTAAAATATTTCTGATACGACATCGAATTAGAAACGTAATTAAATTTCTGAAGCAAAAAGTTCATTACCTCACTCTTTTTTCCTAAGGCTTCATAAATAATCATAATAATACTTTTTTTAATTTTAAACTGCTTATGGAAAATGAATAATTAATCATTTTTTACTAATTCAGAAGTCAAGCAACAAAAATCAGCGTTATATTTACAAAATTTTCACAGGACTAGTTTCGGTGGTTTTACCGAACCACCATCCTCAGCTGCAAATTCACAAATGAACAAAATAGGAAATAATGATTAGATAAGATAAGAAAGCCTGGACAAGAATAAGCAATTATTCCTATTTTTATATATTCCTATTCCTATTTTGTTCATTTGTGGTTTTGCAGCTGAGGATGGTGGTTCGGTAAAACCATCGAAACTAGTCCTGTGAAATTTTGTAAATATAACCCTGATTTTTGTTGTTTGACTTCTGAATTAGTATTTATTAGGCGTGTTATTGTGTCTTAATTACTCATTTTTTGTAATAATGCATTACAATATTTTGTACTTCATTGAAAAGTAAGCAAAATTTCCGAAGAATGGAATCTCTTTAGAGAGCGTGCGGGCATTTGATATTTTACTGCACTTCCCTCCCCCAAAACTGTTTGATGAAAATATAATAATATGTAGAATATATGTGCTTTTACGAATCGTAATTGAAAGTTAATTAAAGTTGATAGAATGAGTGTTAAATGTACTTAAATGTTGACAGTATAAAATGTTGAATGATATTTATGTGTATAATGACAGCTAGCTAAAGCAAACTTCAGAATTTTCCCTTTATCGTTGTAGAGGCATTAGATTTTTTTATGCTGGAAACGTAAAAAGTGTGAAATGCCCTCTCCGGGACTCGAACCTGGACCTCTCGAATACGAGCCGAGTGTGCTACAGTTACACCACGAAGGCATGCTGAAAAGGAGGGAGAAGATACCTTATATACTCCCCCTTTTAAAGGACGGCTGAGGATTAGGGGACCCAGTCGCCAAATCCTGATGCTGACGATTAGCGTCCACCTGGACCTCTCGAATACGCGCCGAGTGTGCTACCATTACACCACGAAGGCATGCTGGAAGGAGAGAGAAAATACGATAAGAATTATTCTGTACTAAGTTAGTATACAGTATACAAAAATCTGAATTAATTAGATAGTCTTTGGTGTTTATCTCTTGGAAAATATAAATGTTTGACATCATTAAGTAAATTACAATCCTCGGAAGATGAATAGGTTTCTATAATGTCAACTTAATCTGTAATTATGAAAGCCTGGAAAAATATTGTTTGTACGGAAAGTTTTATTGAAAGGATAATATGTCTCGTTAAATGGCTGTTGTTAAAGGATAATTAAATTGACATGATGGGAATATTAAAATGAGTTTTCTGTATTCGGAATGTATAAAAGTTAAAATATTTGGACATGGGTTGATTGGGATAAAATATATCACTGTTTCTTTTTTGGTTCTTTCTTTAAATATATCTATTGATAATAGTTATGTTGTATAAAGGTATACTCGAGTTTGACAAGATTTCGTTCGTAAGAAAATGCATTAGTTTACAAAAGGAAATACTGAAATTAGTAAACTATAGTTATAAAAAAAGAAATGAAGGAACTTTATAACATTCAGTTCCTAGAAGTACATAAATGTTCTTTTATTTAAAAGAGATGTATTGCGGTTTTTAATTGTGTATTTGGTTAAAAGCTGAAGCTCTAAAATAAATATTTTCTACAGTGTGACAAATAAATTAATAGAGCATTGGTCTTACGTTTAAAATCACGCCTTACAACAGATTTAGAATACTCTGAATCTATATGTTGATTCAGATTTAATATTGTTTTTACCTGGTGGAAGATCTCCTAAGACTTACAAGTGAAAATTTCGTCAACCCTCTGATAAAGTTTACTTTAACTTTCTCAAATTACTTAAAACATACTATTTGAACTTTGGGAAAGAAATCCTGTACTGCATCATGGATACATTTTTGTTCAAATAGGGAATTTAGTATATTATTATAATAGCATTATTAATCATTGTAGATTCAAATAGGAGATAGAGTACTTTTGCTTACTGTGAATTCCGTTTATTAATGAACAGCAGAAAAATGCAAAAATTTAGATGTTACAAAATATGTTAATGTATGCATAAACGGTCAACTTGTGCATATTCTCAGTATACTGTGAGCAGTTTTTGAAATGCAACTTCTAGCATGAGGCACTAAGAAAGAAACACTGTTAAGAAATTTCATATCTTCAAAAATGCACTTTGAAACTGTAGATGTCCTTTTACATCATTAACAAGTTCCAGATTTTGATGACGTATGCATGTCTTTGCGTTTGTTGTGCATTTTCTTCTTTTAATGCATTTTTAAATTTTTAGAGCATTTCTTGGACACTTCAGAACATTTTAGGCATATTCTAGTAACCAAATTCAAAAATAAACTTCCTTTTAAAATACTTTAAACTACTCTACTTTCAACCCCTATGAATTCACTTTTGACAGGCTTTTTCCAAAAAGCAGAGGTGTCACGTCTAAGAATTTTTTCGTACTGGCATTTCTTTGGTCTTTTGTGCGTATTTTGTTCTATAGGATTACATGCAAAGGGGAAAATGCTATTCCATAGACACATTCTAGAGATTACTCATTCACAGCTGTGTGCAATGCGTTTATCTACCTCGATAAAATCCTCTTTATTTCCGTTATTTTTTACAGTCCATCGACGGTAAGTTGACGAATAATCTTGGATCTTTCCATTTTTAAAAAAGAATTATCGGATTAGGAAATCGTCGAAACATGCAATGTATTTTTGAAAATTTTAAATCTTCGCTAAAATGTTCTTAAAGGTACCATATCGTATACAGTATTTTAAATCTCTTCTAATTTAGCTTTGCCACCAAAGCTTATTGTGATATGTTGGGAACATGGCTCAACATGTGCATATGAAAATTTTCAAAACTGGGAAGTTAGTTATAAATAGCTTTGATGCAGATGATGTTGCTTCGATTCAAATTGCATAGAATGTTTTCTTCACAGACAAAATTGAAGAAAACCTTGCATACGTCCGATTCAGTTTCAGGATCCTAATTTCAACTACTAAATCCTTATAAGCTGATAGCTTTCGAGCGCTTTGCCGTAGTTAAATAAGCCCGAACAAATCTTACAAGAGCAAAATATGGAACTTGTGGATACAACAAATAACGCTGATAAATTATGCGACGTTTTAAGAAAGGCCAGAGGCAAAGTTTCAAAGATTGCATGCACTAAATTCAACGCTTTTTTTGACTAAAACTGTGGCTTCCAAATTATGTGGGAAAACATCCCTCATTTCTGTAGGAGAATCAGATTCTTTAGAAACTGAAGAAGAGTTAACAACAAATGATGCAGATTTTTTTTTAAAAGTATATTCCAGTAATTGCAACAGATGTAAAGAGAAAATTCTCATGATATAAAAACTCTTACACACTGACAACAGAAGGTCTTCACTTTCGAAAACATCAAGAACTTAATAATTCACTGCAATCGTAATACATTTGTATAATATTGAATATTCGGTAGAAAAATTGTAGAATCATTAGGATTATTTGGAGGCAGACGAGATGAAAATTAACAATCGCCTTCGCCGGGAATCGAACCACGGACTTCTGGAATACCGTCCCAGCGTGCAGAACCACTACACCACGAAGGCATGCTAGGAAAGGGGTAGAAATATCTTATATACACTCTTTTTTAAAGGACGACTGGAGTTTTCAGGGGACCCAATCGACAAATCCTGGGCGTGGAGAAACTTCATCTAACACCCTTTCAGTTCGGGCGCCGCTGTAGAGTCATTAGGATTATTTGGAGGCAGACGAGATGAAAATTGGCAATCGCCTTCGCCGGGAACCGAACCACGGACCTCTGGAATACTAGCCCAGCGTGCAGAACCACTACATCACGAAGTCACGCTAGGAAAGTGGGAGAAATACCTTATAAAATTTAAAAATCAGTAAACAAGCATGTGTAATTGTTTGGGTTTTAATCTCTTTGTCAATGTTTGTCAACAGTGTCATGTTTTATATTTTTTATTGGAAGAATTTATATATATTTAAGTGCATTTTCCTCCATTTTAAGGGCATTTTCAGTGAACGTTTAAGTCTCCAAAATCCGGGCCCTGTTTACTAATATAATGTATTAAATATCTGCTTCCTTTCTATAGCTGTGGCATTTGCTTCTCTTGTTCATCTGTAACGTTTTCTAAATTCTGTATATACTTTATTTCAAACTAAATAAATTCAAATAGGACAACACTTTTGTCCTACATACCACAAAAACGCAGTGTCCTTACCTTTCCCAATAACCGAGCCTGTGAGCATCCACATGTATTTCAGAAATACTCTAGAAATTTTTCTTTTCTGAGTTGAAGGGATTTTAAAGTAAATCACAGTTAATAAAGAGGCAGCTATCAGCGTCGTAAACATTAGCAACAACCATAACTGAAAAAAAAAAAAAAAAAAAAAAAAAAAATCAGAAAATCTTTCAAGACAAACTATTAAATTAAAATAGAGCGATATAAACTTGCGAACGTTATATTTATTTTAAAAAAATAGAAAAACAGATATAACAGTAGATTTCTTCTGTTTAACATAAGGATAATATCAGAATAATAATACTTTACATAACTAAAGTTATTTCTAGAAAAAAAAAAAAGGAAAATGCATTTTTTTATTCCTGAAGAAAAGAGAGGTATGTCAGTTCTTTTTGAAATCGACAGAGTTTTATATAAAATATTCATCATTTCAGACTTTTGTTTTTTTTTAAACAACAATGAAACTTCTGATGGCAACTATGCTGATGACAATTTTGAATATGATCAATATCCTCGAGAACCCAAATAAGCATCGATACTGATCATACAATTCTCTAAAATGACTAATATTTAATCTGACTGAAACCACCAAATGCTTACTAAAACGATGACCAAAAGACCTAATTCAGGTACAAAATTAAAATATTTTATGTACTATATAATAATAAGGAAGCTAAATGTATGGACTAGTAATAATAAGAAATAATTATAGAGGTCTGAAATGTAATAAATGCTTTGAATTTAATTAGAAATTTAATAAGATATCCAATTCAATAACAAATATGTACGCTCACCCAATTTCCTTTTTTTCAAACAACTAGCTTTCGAAAAATTATAAGTCAAATTTTCTTCAGCAAAATATTTTTTTAAAAATACATTCTTTCATATCAGTTATCCTATAGAGTAATTTAGATATTTTTGGAATGAGAAACACGAGAAAATCAACAACGCCTTCGCCTTCCAGACTTGTAATTGCCAATTTGTAAAAAATCCCTAGACGTTGAAGACTCATGCTAACTTTGAGTGAACATCATATGTGGAAAATACATTTTTAAAGATTCAAAACTTGTCTTAATGTAAATTTCAGTTTTCTGGAGGACAAACATTGTAAAATTAAAAGTAGAGTTCCGAGTGGTAACAAATAAATACTGTTATGCATCTGAAAATATAATACTGAAGTAAGAGCCGGTAGGTATTGTCCGAACCCTAAGAATAACCTTTGCATCAATCACCCAGTGCAACTTATGTTAGAGAAGAGATTTAGACATGCAACAAGTAGAAGAAAAAGGATTTTTACATAATATTTCCTTATACAGTTTTAGAAGGTTTAAACGGCTCAGTCCAATCACAGACTTCTTGAAAGCTTTCTTGTAGAACTAAGATCATTATTAAGAATTTTACCAATGAAATGAGTTTCCTTCTGCTTTATTGTCCAATTCAGTAGGTCTGTGACACTAACTAAATTCATGACACTGATTGAGGAAATAAAATATAATTGAAAGAAAGCGAAATGTTGCGATCTTTATGAATAACATTGAATGAGTTGGCAGTGCTAGTACTCATTTGAATGAGTTGGCAGTGCTAGTAGCTATCACTAGGTATCTTGCAGTTTTAAACGTCGAGTAAAAGGGAAGGAATCTACGTATCGATAAATTTTATTATACAAAAAAGAGTATCATACCTTTTTACAAAAAGGGGAAATAACCGGGCAGAAATTTTACTTCTCTTCTACAGAAAATATAATATCTATGCTATTAACCCATGAAACCACATGTTAACTTTAAGCTAAAATTAAATGTCAGCTCAAAACGAATTTTAAATCTGAAAATTTCGTGTTTTTCTATATTTCGTTTTTCAGTACGTATTGACACTAACATATCGAAGGTTCCTTGCAAAAAGTATTTCATAAACAACTGGTTGCTAATAAAGTTGTCCACTTTGTTCGTATTTACACATGCCTTTCACGACAGCCTTTGACAAAGAGCGATGAAAAATATCCTCTGTTGATTGTAAAATTGCGTTATGAATTTACATAGGGAAAAAATACTGTTATAAGAAATACTGTTATAATACTGTGATAAGAAAATAAAATGTTACATTTTCAGATCCTTTTGAAGCCGACTTAACTAATGCCAATGATGTATCAGATCTCAGTTTTTTACTTCCTTGTACGAAGTAAAAAGGAAGTATTGTAATCGCGAAAAGTTTCAGGCAGCATATTTCAACGAAAATACCCATTTTGACCGCTATCGAATGCAATTTAACGATGTTTTTGCGTGATATCTGTACGTAAGGGACAGAATAAAATACTCTTTTCCTTCAAAAAAAATTATAAAACTGCTTTAAAATTAATTCTGAAGAGAATTTTTCGTGGCGTCTGTACGAACGTATGTACGGACGTACGTACGTATCTCGCATAACTCAAAAACGAGTAGCATCAGAACGTTGAAATTTTGTATATAAGACTGCTATAACATGTAGATGTGCACCTCGTATTTTGGTTGCAATCGGCCGCCGCACCAAACGTATATAAATATATTTATATATATATTCACTCTCTTACCCGGCTCAGTGATCTCAGTTTTTCATTACTATTATATGTTTGTAAATTGTACATTTTTGCTTTAATTAAAAATGATTGAATTATGTTGTTTTTATCTTCCGGTTAAGGATTTTATGCCTTTGGTAAATCTGTGTGCAATATTTTTAGAATTATTAGCAATTTTAAAGTTGTTTAATTGCCGGTAAGCCTGTTTTTAATGGCGGCCATTGATGTTTACATTTGAAACAGGAGAGACTAGTGGATTTGTTGCCAATCTAGAGAAACTTAGCTTCGCAACAACAAAAGATAACGCATTCATTTATTATTGCCAATTAAATCATGCTTAATTCTTTCTGGAATTTTTTCGAGGAAATAAGCGTTTGATATTTACTTCGTAATTTTTAATATAGATATTTTGAGTTTTTATGTATTTTTGCTTTCTCGCGAAGTGAGAACTGAATTAATTAAAGGAGAAATACTCTATCGTCTGTGAAAAACTGTTTCTTTTTTGCTTTGTTTGCTTAATTTCTTTTATACATCATTCTAACTTTATTATAGTATTTGAATAGAACATGTGGCAACGATTAGATAATTCTATTCTTTAAATGATATAAATTTTGTGCATTATGAGTTATAATATGAACGAAATATAATACTATTAAGTGAATCTAGCGCCAGAGTTTCGCTATGGTAAACAAATACTAGAGTGAATTTTAAAGAATGCATTTATTCTATTGTGGTTTATGCGCTCTCGGCGAAGTAGATTTAATTCAATCTAATAAATTTATATGAAATGCAAAGTGCGTATAATTTATTATTCCGTACAGGGAAGTCATGAGGTGTACACATCAGATTTTTATTTAAATGTTTCGAAGTTTGTCTTTCGACTTATTTCCTCATTTGTTTGGTGGTGCAAATTGGTGTCATTAAATACCCTATGGAATTAAAATAATAAAAGCAAATTTAAGATCTCTTATGAATGAAAATTCTTGCACGTAGCTCTATCAAGTGAGCAAGCAGTAACTGCTTAGATAATACGAGTATAAAAATGCAGCTTTACCTTTCGCATTAATTCAGCGATGGGCATGGCAAATGATGAATATAATTATCATACAATATAATGTATCATACAGTGAAATAACATTTTGTTTTCCTTTACTATACTTACTACGAAATAAGGAATATATGTGTTGTTTAATTTTACAGACTAATTTCTAATGCTTTAGTGGAAAACCTTTCCGGAACACGCAGGTATCCTTGGCCACTGAGTAGCATGCACAAGTTGTAATCGCCTCATTCAAAAAAAAAAAAAAAAAAAAAAAAAAGGGGAAAATGGATAGTGTTGGTCAACAATAAATAAATAAATAAATAAAGTTTCGACTTCTCACTAATTATTTTAAAATAATAGCGCCAGTCTAAGGATTCATATAGCCTAGAAAGAAAAATCATAAACCTTTATGAACTTTCTGATAGTATTTCTGATCCGACGTATTCTGCTTAGTGTAAGAAGTGCAAAAGGTAATAAATACTTTGATGACATTTCATTGCTGTCGTTTTTCATCATCAAACTGAATAGTATATTTTTATTTACACATGTTCATGATTGTTCATCTGTTATTTTTAGATTGAAAGTTGAATTACTTACTTCCAATGAAAATATCTCAAAAATTAGAAAAGGATCTCTGTTTGCTCTGACTAACCCGGATACTATGCAAAGTTCAGAGAACCCTATAGGTACGGCAAAATCCATGGCCATGGCTCTTTGCTCTGTAATGAAATAGGGTCCTGATATATCGGTTTTCTGAAATAGAAAGCACCTGCGTTAATCTAAATGGGCTCATACACATTCTGTTATGTTTACAAATTATTTGCCACATAGTTTAAGTTCGTTAATGCATTAGTTATTAGATTATGTTACTCTATTAGCTAATTTAATTAGGGAAAAATTCACAATCTGAAAACTTCAGATCGCAATTTAACCGCCCTATTTTGCTAATAAAATATGTTGAATCTCAGAATTAAATAGTAATTAAAAATAGGGGAAGTAACCGCGCAGAAATTTTTAAATGCCAGCTTAAAATGAATTTTAAGTATGAAAATTTCGTTTTTTTTCTACATTTTGGTTTTCGGCTCATATTGACAATAACAGAAAAAATTAAAATTTTAGTATATTACCTTTCGAACAGAATTTAAAACGGGAAATTTTGTAAAGTGAGAAAGAAAAGAATCTGTACATCTTGCATGAAAGTTTATTTATTTTATGTTATGATTTATTTTATGTTAATTAGTTTACAACTTGCTTGTAATGCATGTCAGAACAACAGGAGAAATCAAACGTTTAAATCTAAAGATATTTTCTGTAAATGGTATAAATTAACATAGCAATATTTATTAAAACAGCAGAATGCTTAAGACTGTATAGGAAAAACATTCATGCACTTTAAACGTTTCAGTTTACTCATATGCAGTTTTTGTTTGGGGGGGGGTATTGTATTGTTACCGTAGCAAAATTAGTTACGCAATTTACTGCTTTCGTTTCCTTGTTTTACTAGTTTTGAATTTATATTTATTTTTTTTTTGTGAAAATGAACAGCAAAACTAGTGAAACGCCAGCTGATGTCATAAATATCATTGTGAAGTTATTAAAAAACAGAAATATGCATTATATAGGCGGTGTGGTAAGTAGTTTCATGCCACTGTTCATTATACTGCGAAAGAGTTTATTAAGATTGGAACTGTAGAAAATAAGTACCGTTCTGGGAGATCATCGCATCTAAACTATATAAATGAAAAAAATTCATTTTGAAATTAAATCCTTTTCAAAACTCTTCTTGGATTATGTCAAAACTTGGCGAAGCTGCAGGTTCTTAAAAAATGGATATCATGTTCAGGTTAGAGGGCAGCTTTCATAAATAAAGCTGATGGACAGAAGATATTGGAATTGTAAAAGAATTCATTAACAAGCCTAAAGAATTCTGTCATCAGTTAATTTTTTCTGATAAATTGAATTTAATGTTCTGCACTCATAAGAACGCAAATGAGTATGGAGAAATCTAGCAACGGTAAAACACAATGGCGGAAGTACTATAACGACACGGAGGTACATGGCTGGAAGGGGTATTGGAAACTTGTACATTAATATTTTGAATATATATTTTGAAAACCAGTTTGAAACAAATTTCGCAAAATCTAGGAATTTTTACTTTGAAATGCAAAACTCGAACTGTGAAGGAATAGCTGCTATGATACACCGCATATTCTGAAAACTTCATCATAGTCACCCATACGAATATATTTGGAAAGAAACGAATAAGAAGCTCTCAACATTACACAAATACGGCCTTAATAATAATTTAGTGCATGAAAGAGAAAAAAATTTACAAAGATGTAGGCTTGAATTGGATAATGCTTAAACATCTTTAAGATTTTAATAATGCAAAAGAATATTGCACTAAGTATACAAATTTTTCTTTGTCCAAGAAACTAAGGCAATATATTAAAAATACATAAATCTAGGTGTAAAGTACTAGAGGCATTTTGACATTAAAATCAAGAAATTACCTCTTCGTTACGGCTGTATTTAGAAGTTTGGGCTTTCTTAGAGAAATCCTGTGCCGGTCAGAGGGTTAAAATTCTTCGTGAAATTTAAAATTGTCTATGAATCATATAAGTCTATGAATACTTTTTACTTTAACTGCATTCAAACTTGAAATACAAAAATTACTACAACATTTCTTTATGAATATTAAATTTTATTACGTTGTAAGATTCTCACTAGTGTAAATCTCAGTTACTGTAGAAAGTGACGAATCTTAAGAACTAGTTAGGAAATAATCGCTTAAGTTCGTGTGACAAGAAACAAAAAGATGGAAGGGTAACTAACCCTTTATTATTTCAATAAGATTTAACAAAACTCCGCCTTGGAGTGTACAATCAAAGCCGATACTTGGGCTTGAACTTAAGAGACTAAAACTAAAACTAAGATTAACTAAAGAAATATAGCTGAAGCTATCAAGATTCTGAACTAGTTGGCCCCTTAACTGTATTTGACTACGAAGCTTATCAAGGGCCTGAGTACGGCCGAGCGTAATAACAGCTTTGAGAGAGAGAGAGTTGCCAAAAGGCAGACGCGCGTAAATCAGAAACTCTGATTTTCTCTTGCTAAAGAATTTCGCTCTTCCTCATTATGTATTCAGACGTTATTCTAAAACTACGTTCTGGCCGGAAGTAGTAAGTTGAAAGTAAGAATTTGACAGAAAAGGAGCTTTAACTTAAAATTTAACTGTTAATAAAATGAACATAATCCTTACATAGTATGCAGACGATGGCGTATCCAAGAAGTATGAAATTTTGCTACCAACCATATGTAATAGGGTGTATTAGAAAAGTGCTTCATTTGGCATTCCTGATATAAAATAAAGAAATTCCAAATTTTCACTAAAAGTATTATAATTACTTTAATTGTGGAAAGTAATTATAATACTTTTAGCGAAAATTTGGATTGCGATTTTTGGTGTTTGGGATAAATGCACTTCATCTTGGTGAAACTGTCTTGCATATTACATATTACACACTATGAAAGACATAGGAGAAAAAGGCAGTTCGAATCTAACACAAGAACAGATTGCTGTGTTATATGTTATAAGAAGCTTAAAGATCTATGAAACAGCATTATAAACAGCCACATGTTACATCTCAAACAGATCTTTGAATAATGTAGTAATAAACGTATGCCATCAAGTAGATTTCGTATTAAAACATGGTAGATATTTTCCGACAACTTCTGTAAAAAGGTATTTTTTTTTTGTAATTTTGGGATCGTCAGATACAGATAGATATACAACGTATGTAAACCATGAGTTGTGCTGCAGCTCCGCCTTATTGCCGAATGATTTTCCACTGAGGAAGTTGATTATGGCAGTGCCTTTTACGTGGTTTTTATTCATGATGCTTTTTATCATTGAGAATCTTTCGCGTTTCTCGAAAACAAAGATACAGTAAATATGTTGTGACATATGGCTTTATTGGAAATATCAATCGAAACATATAAAAACAGCTCAAGCATCATACATAAACAATGATAAATAATAAAAAAGAAAAAACGTTTATAAAGTAAGAATCAAAATAAATGAGCATGGGAACAAAAGTAAAAAGTTAATTTAAACAACAAGGAAAGGAACATAACATGTAGTCTTTACAAGGAGTTGATGAAAGATCTGGAATTCTAATATAGTTTACTTATCTCACCACGTTTCTGAGACTCTATCTAGTTCTGGGCATATAAGAAGTTGCTCGAATTGCAAATTTGGCATATACAAGGTGTAACACAAAACACCGAGACTGATCCAATAAATCATTATACTTGAAGAATCACTTCTCCATGACATTATCAACTTCAAAGTAGTCCCCTTCAGCATTCACACACTTCTGCATTCGGTGCTGCCGTTGCTGGTAACAGTTCTGGAACGAGGTTTTTAGAAGATTCTCCGTTTTTCCTGAAACTCTTCAGTTGAGGTAAAATGGCTCCCTTTAACCCTTTCCGGCACGCTACCTTTTAAAGTCAGAATTTTGATTAAAAAAAAAAAAAAAAAAAAAAAAAAAAAAAAAAAAAGGTAGGCAGTCTAATTATGCCTAGAGGAGTACACAAGTAAAATTTTGTGAAGATAACACTTATCGTTTATTTCTGTGGGTTGCCCGAAGAGGGCACACTGATTGAATAGAGCTTCGAAAAGAGTGCTGAAACGAGCATTGTTGTCAATGAACTGACCGATGAGATGCGGAGAAACAAAGACTACAGACTCTCAATTGTCCTGGATTATCGGTGAACCCGGTCTGGGTCTAGGGTTCTCCGTTTGATTTTAGACAAGAATTCAAGGTAAAAATTTAACATTAATATAGAATAAGGAGATTAGCATACAGGAAAAAACATAACATAGAAATTTCTTTTCAAACAATTCCTTTTATACCCTAAAAAAATCTGGAAGATTTCTTTGAAAAATGAGGGTCTTAAAAAACTAAACATGCTAAAACATATGGACTGGTTTGTGTTGAGCTGCCATCTACTATAAATAAAGAAGGTTCAGAGTAACCTAAAGTAACTTATAAATCCTTTTTCATTCAATTTTTCTTTGTGTACAGAAGGAAAGTTTTAGGTGTGTCCAGACCGTATACACTGTGCCGCAAAGGGTTAAGCAAGATTTAACTTTAGAAAATAAAAAAACTGAAATGGAGCCAAATAAGGTGAATAAAAAGGATGCCCCATCACAGTAATGTTTTTGCTGGTTGTAAACTGCTTGACATATAGGGCCGTGTGAGCGGGTGCACAGTCCTGGTGCAACAGCCATCCATCAGTCCGCAACTGTGACCTTTTTTCCCTAATTTTTTCGCGAAGTCTTTTTTGTACTTCAATGTATAAGTCCAAATATTGTTTAGTCCAAATGAGCTATAAATTTTGAGCTTCTTATTTAAGTTTAGTAAAAAGTTGCTGAAATGGTTGTTATTAATGTGAGAAAATATTTTGACAACAGTGTCATTTGACAAAAGAAAGTTTCTGTAATTAACAGCCATGTTTCCTTTCTGAAGTATTTCTACCACTTTAATAGCAACAGGTAATGGCAAAAGTTACTCCAATGTTACGTGGCATTTTAGTTTTAGCAACCATGCATGAAACGTCATATGGCTCGAGTAAATATTTTTCGCTAAAAGTTATAAATTTCTAGAAACATTATTTTTCTTTATTTGAAGATTTCAACAGTAATTCTGAATATTCTTTTGGTTTATTGACGTGTAAAGGATGCTTGAATTCAAGGTGCCTTTTTAATTCTTATGATTTCATATTCTCTATAACCAAAACGTTATTTCAAATTAAACAAGGAGCTTGTTCATTTCTATTACAGTTGTTGAAAGAAAAACCAAATTGGAATCAGGTTCCATCATGTCTTTTCCCCTGCATCTTGGATCAAAATCTAAAATTCTTCGCATATTTACGAAGATTCCTGCTTGAAGCGGAGTTATAGCATTTCATCTGTGTCATCACGTTTGTTACTTACATTCAATCCCTTATCCATGTGTAAGGAATTTTTATCGTAAAATAATGTGACATCTTACATACTAATTATTCAAATAAATACCGACCAACCTTAGTCGAGTGAAACAAAATAAAATACATTATTCTTGCTATGCACACATTTGGTGCAATTGAGCAGAAATAATTGATGATACCGGGAAAACGTTATAACTACAGTAGTCGCAATGTCACCGACCTCATTCTTGGCAAGACCAAGAGGCGTAGGATGTTATGTAATGCGCGTTTGTGACACATTTTGGTTCAGGAACAGTTTAGTTTATAAGCTGAAATTGCAATGCGAAACCGCTATTATAATGTGCTTTGTAGTATCTTTCAATATGTAAATATAATTTAATGCTTAAATGGTCAGTATTATGATTTTATAATCTCGCTGTGCAGAAAAATAATGTGATATATTAAATGAAAGATAATGAAGGGAGTGTGGCTAATGTTTCTTTTAAACTCATGTAGCTGAATTAAATTTTCGGCACCCATACCCCATCTGGGGTTGCAACCCCCATTTTAAGAAACGCTGTCTTTGGAATGACGCTGGTCTTAACTTGAATGGCTTTGGAATGTTCTTTGATGGTAATTTGTAGGCGCTAGGTCTGGCGAGCGTGATATCTCCTAGCTAGTCGCTGAATGGTATCCATCGACGTGTGTTTTAGCACTGTCGTGGAGGTACAGCAGACCCTTAAGAGTAACCAATGCTAGCATTTTCTGGTGCAATCCATGTTGCATCCGTCGTAATTGATGACAGAATAGGTTTTCAGTGATGGTATAGTATGGCAGAGCGGTAGTGCGTCATGCACCACTTGGTAATTAGTTTGACAGACACACAGTGTGATAGTGCGTGGTTGCACAAGTGGTTGTGGGGCACATCACGTGGCAACAGCTAATACCTCCACACTGGGTTTATCATAATGAATCCACGTTTCGTCACTCATTGAGCAGATATGGATATGTTGTGATCCTAAAACAAGAACGACAAACAGGTTACCACTCGTTGCTCCTTGTTGGCTACCGACAATGTGTGAAGTACTTACTATCTCAACTTGTACAATTTTGCTATGCAGCCCAAGTGAAAATTGATTGTTTCCTCTAAAATATGGTACTATTTTAGCAAGTTTACCTCGCGTTTTACTGTTGTTTTCCTCTACAACTCGCTCAGGGGCTCATTATCCAACACCCACTGAGCAATTCATCAAGAAGGCTCAGGTCTCTTGACCTAAAATATTGGAACCATTGTCTGGTGATGCGTTCGTTCATGGCATCCTTTCTAGATGCCTGATGTATTCGACCACATAAATGAAGCTGTTGATAGAGCAATCTTAATTTCATTTAGAAAACGACCGCGAAAGAGCTGCTTCTTTCTTGCAATGCTCTCCGACATTGGACGATTCGGGATTGTTTTGTGTGCTCAATGCACCTGTATCAATGCAGGTCAATGGTTATATTGATCTTCTATCGGTTTTCAGCCGCATTCATTATTTCGTTTATCTTCTGTAAACGTTTCATCAACCAGGACATCTGAAACAGCGAAAATGGTTACCTTATAATGTATATCTCCCACCTTCTTGGCGTGCCTTCGTGATGTAGTGGTTCTGGGCATTGGGCTGGTATTACAGAGGTCCGTAGTTCGGCAAAGGCGGTTGATATTTTTCCTCTTTTCTGCTTGCAAAACATACCTAATGTCTCTACAGTGGCGCCCGAAATAAAAGGGTTGTTGGATGATGAATCCTCCTCACCCAGATTTGGCGATTGGGTCCCCTAAAAACCCCAGTCGCCCTTTAAAAGGGGGAGTATATAAGGTATATCTTCCACTTTCTTGGCGTGCCTTCGTGGTGTAGCAGTTCTGCACACTGGGCCGGAATTCCAGAGGTCCGTGGTTCGATTCCCGGCGAAGGCGGTTTCTATTTTTCATCTTTCCTGCTTGCAAAAAATACCTAATGTCTCTACAACCACATAGTTAAACCTGTTTAAAATCTTTAAGACCATATTGTATAAAGATGATTGAATTAATGCACTGATTGGTTATATATACTTAAACCAATTATAATTTGTTTAAGTTGGAATAAACGAAGATAATTTTGAAAAGTAATACATAAACTAGCTTGTGACATTTTGGTAAATTTTTCAAAACTTTACAAGATCATGAATATTGTGTGCTTGGAAAAAGACAAAACTGATGGATAAACGGATCTTTAACTGTTTCAGTTCATGAGTTGTTAAGTGTTTGAGACCAAATAAACACTGACTAGTGTCGAGTCTTTAGAAACCTACTAGTTGTATGGTTTCTTTCATGCATTTCCAAATACCAGTCAGTTTTTTGACGTAAGATATATAGCTCGTGCTTTACTTGTCATATCCAATAAATAAATTAATAATTCAAGGTATCGACACTGAGCAAGTATTTGTTGATTCTTAAACTTGGTGGATTAATATTCATATTAACGAAAAAGTAGTTAATTTTACAGGCAGCAAAATTATGTATATTTGCTGTTGCTAAAAGAAGAATAACAACGCATTACGGATATTGTTCTGGAACTGATTTTACATTTCTTGCATTTTACATTTGCTATTACATAGACAGTTTTTCTAAAGATTATAAGTACACTTACGTTTGCAACTGTAGCGCCGACCATTCCTGTCCATTTATTATCCGGTCCTAACGTTCCGTACTGCAGATCTTTTTGGAGTTGCGTTTCATATCTAATAAAGAATAAAACTGCATAAGAAAGCTAATTTTTGTCCGACATTAGAATATGTTATGAATTATTATATTAGCGATTTAAAAGCTCTGTAATGCGACACTCGCATATGCAATGTTAAAATACATTAAGCAACCAATTTACCACATGCGCCTTCGCGAATTCGTAATTTTCCCTCCGCTTTTTTGGGGATAGAGATTTTGTTTAAATTTCTACAGGATGGTTTATTATGCGGTGGTGCATATTCTATCTATCAGTTTGAATTGGCAACTCTGCCAGAATACGTACACACATGTGTGCGAGTGTGTGTACCGGCATTCATACATGAGTCAGTCATGTAGTATACCATATACCACTAGCCGGTGCATTGTGGATTTGGCAGTGGAAGGTTTCATTAAAATTTGCTTTGTCACAGGCGTTTAATGAGTATAAGGCGGAATAGTGAAAATCGAGAGAACTGTGGGCAAGAGAATTGAAGGATAAAATTTAGTTTTAACAGAGCAACACAAAGGGAAACATAAGTATGGCTGCATTTCGACCCTATTTTCACAGGATATATGCCCTCATTGCCTTTCACAGGATATCCATTCAGGAGAAGGACATGATTTTCAGTGTTTCCTGCATACCCACTCTATATATTTATCGCATCCTATAATTCTATAGACCTTCCGCATTCAATAAAATTATATCAAAATTATAAAGTCAAATGAAAGGAATTTTGCAATTTTTGTATACGCATTATGAATATATATGCATGTTTAAGACACAATAACACGCCGAATAAATACTAATTCAGAAGTCAAACAACAAAAATCAGCGTTATATTTACAAAATTTTCACAGGACTAGTTTCGATGGTTTTTACCGAACCACCATCTTCAGCTGCAAAACTGCAAATGAACAAGATAGGAAATAATGATTAGATAAGATAAGAAAGCCTGGACAAGAATAAGCAAGTGGCGCCATCTGTTGGCGAAACCAGAACTAAAACATAATTTCTCTAAAAGCCGAAGGCAAATTTGGATTGGAATTAGGATCGTTAACTAGAACAGAAAGATTTTTATGAATGTGAAATGCCTCTAGAAAATCCAGTTCTCCAACGGAAGATGTTTTTTGAATAATTTTAGCAGCAGAAAAAATAAAAGTGTGATTTTCGGACCAACAATGTTGAGCAACAGAAGACTTCTGTGTTTCCTTTTTTCTAACATATGCCTCATGTTCTTTGACGCGAAATTTTAAGGCTCTCTTAGTTTGGCCAATGTAAATTAAACCACACTGGCAAGGAATCCTATAAATATCCCAGGAATTCATATCCGGAATTGGGTCCTTGAGTTTAGAAGTCCGAATTTTATTGATGGAAGAATAATCTTATCTAATCATTATTTCCTATCTTGTTCATTTGCAGTTTTGCAGCTGAAGATGGTGGTTCGGTAAAACCATCGAAACTAGTCCTGTGAAAATTTTGTAAATATAACGCTGATTTTTGTTGTTTGACTTCTGAATTAGTATATATGTATGTGCTATTTTAACACTATATCTATTATATTAAAATATGTATATACATTATACATACATATACATAGGATTAAGTAACGCATATGTTTATAAAAAAAATTACACAATGTATACGTTTCTTTAAATAAAAAGTTGTAATTTTGATTTAAAAGAAAAGCAAACAAAAGCAAAATTTCATGTTGTCAAAAAAATTTTGCATTTATTTTTGAAAAAGTCTCGTTTTTGGAAAAAAAAGGGTTAAATCAGAGTCCGATTTAGAGAATCTGGGACTAAGGCACAGCGACATTTCATGGACCGACAACAACCCTCCCTGTTTATTTTCAAGTTTTCATGAATCTAAAAAAAAAAAAACATGATAAATTTATGGGACTGCTTACAGGGATACCTAGAACACGAAGCTGTAGGACAGATCGTTAAGGCTGAGATTTTAAATAGGCCCTAAATTAAAGTAATGAATTCTTTTAACAAACTTTCCTGGGTAATTGAATAGTAACTGAAGTTGCTGTAAAGACTAAGTTACAATGGCTAGCGACTTTTGTAATACTTTTGAATTTGTAAAAAAACATCAGTTTGTTTTTTTATAGCCGTGTTCATTTTTATTCTCATAAACGTTCTTAATTTTATTCTGCTTATAACTCAAAATTTGAAGGACAATATTTCTCTTACCTTCGAAGAATAGAAAACGTTTCTGAAATAATAGTACTGCAGTGGTTGCATATAAAATTAGGCTAAACCATTTAATGATCTTTACTTTTTAATATATAATAATGTATCTTGTTTCTATGTACTTTTAACGTAACATTATCATTGTCTGAACCGGCCGAGTCTCTAAAAATAAATTCCATTTAAATAATGGATGTTGTTACTACAAAAGGGTTAGTTTCTTTACGTATGTTTTGCCAATCAACCAGGACAGTGGTTAGTGACTCTGACTGCAGTACCGAAGGGCCCGGGTTCATATCCGGAGAAGGCATGGATATGTAAATGCCATAGTGGCTGCGCAACATGGGGGCATTCTAAATTCGCGGGGAGCCAAAAGTCCGCTCGAAAGGCTGAGGGTTGGAGAAGAAGAATGGAAAACCCTCGGACTCGTCCCTCTAGGTTCTGTCTCTCAAAATCGGAAGCGGAATTGAACTAAAGTCGGGCTGTCACCTATATCGTACTTCAAGGTTCTTGCCAACAACAGGCGCGTGTGTCTCCTTGCCACGTTGAATGACGTGGGCTTTGTCAGTCAAGAGAGACCGGTAACAATAGCAGTGTATGTCTCTGATACAAATGTTAATTAGTTCTTATCTTAGCAAAATATTCTTGTCTTAGCAAAACATGCTTGAGAATTATCTATCTTATTGCTCAGTAATTGAATCCCTTCTTTCTATATCGATAACAGATTATCTGTTTCAACCATACGCTCGTAGATAATTTAAACTACCTTCTAGCCTTCTAAAATTATGTAACTAAATATAAAATTCCATATTAAATTCTATAACCAATAACTTTCTCATAAATGTTATTATGCAGGGGACTTGGTACCTTTTGAATGTTCTTTTTATTTAAAAAGTTTCATCTACTTTTTATGCATAATATTAAGTGGTTTTATAAGACAAAATGATTTTAAGCTGAAAAAAAATTTTTCTAGTAATTTTTTGTTGAATTTTAATTTTTTTAAAAAAATTCAACAATTAAAATTTTTTTCTTCTTCTACAACTTTTAATATTTTTGCCCCAAATTTTTATTGTATTTATTAGATTGTTCCTAATAATTTTACGACCGATTTTGGAGTTATTGAATTAGTTTCTGAGAAAAAAATAAAAAGCACATTTTTATATAAAAACTTAAAAAAAATATGATTTCAATTACATTTTCACTTCCAATGATTTTTCTTTTCACTATTTTTCAAAACACATCCTTGTTTCTATTAAGTATGTAATTTTAAATAAGCAGTAAAATTATTAAATAATTTTTCCATATTTGGACAAGTTTTAGGACTTTAAGTAAAAGGATGTATTGAAAAATTGCAAACTGAGAAAACGCAGTTGAAAGAATGTAAACTGTCTGAATGGTCATTCAATCATTTCAAATTTCTTAAAACTTTTATTACTGAATTTCAATATATATATATTATATATATATCTTATATACATACACATACACACACACACACACACACACACACATATATATATATATATATATATATATATATATATATATAATTAACAAGCAAGGTAGTTAGTACAATACTGTAAGACCAATTTGATCTAAATAATTTTTTTGCACAATATGCTGCAAAATTAAGGATATGAGAAATTGTAGAAAGCTCGCCAAACAGTTACCAGGAGCTGTGGCTCTAAGAAAAGGTTCAACGCATTTTTTTTTAAAAAAAACAATGTCGTTGAAGGGTGAAAAATTATGCTACACGTGAAATTAAACACAGTAAAATACTAATCGTTGGAAACTAGTAATGGCAAAAAATACAGTAAAATACCTATCGATGTGATAAGTGAAAAGTTAAAACATAGAAAAACCAATCGATGGAACAAGTTAAAACATAAAACAAACATAAACATATAAAAATATAAAGCAGAAAATGGTAAATTAGCTGAATTCGAAAGTCCAAATTGGACTTCGAATAACTTGTTCCATCGATTGGTTTTTCTATGCTTTAACTTTTCACTTATCACATCGATAGGTATTTTACTGTATTTTTTGCCATTACTAGTTTCCAACGATTAGTATTTTGCTGTGTTTAATTTCACGTGTAGCATAATTTTTCACCCTTCAATGACATTGGTTTTTTTAAAAAAAATGTGTTGAACCTTTTTTGGAGCCACAGCTTCTGATAACTTTTTGGCGAGCTTTCTACAATTTCTCATATATATATATATATATATATAATAAAACGGAGTATTGCTCAGTTGATTAATATGAACACAAATTACAAGCTTTTGTTTAAAACCTTATCTGGCTAGAAATACTGCAAAAAAAATCATAAAATTCGAGTAGAATTTTGCTTTATCTGTTTTTGTTTTTAAAACACGCTCAAAGTAATTTTAATGAATGAATTAATTATAATGCATTTTCTAAAGCACTTATATTCAATATTAATAATATTAATTTGTAGTTTTATTCACTTTTTCAAAAAGCAAAATTTGAAATTTTAACAGACATGAAACATTTGATTTAAAACCACTCAGCAACCTATGTAATTTCTTCTCTAATTTTAGGCACCTGTTTTCGTATATAAATTGCATTTAAAATTAATTTAGGTGTATTTTAATAAATTAAAGCTTTTAACGTTTGTTCCAGCACTATTTCAATAATGCTACAGTCAAAAACCTGATTATTTTCATTACACCATCTCTTTCTGTTCGTCTTCTTGCCTCAAATAATTTCATTTTTTTATAAGCATGGTAAAGCTGACTGCTATTGCACATAAGAATATTTGCTGAGCTCAATATATATATATAAACTTGCCAGTTTTAAGGTGAAATTTTTTTTTCTAATTTCACTTCGTATTTAAATACTAAATCGGAGTCATATTTAATTACATTCCTTTTCATTTACACTGTTTTTAGGAAGCTACTGAAAAAAAATTAAGAAGAAAAAAAAAAAAAAAAAAAAAAAAAAAAAAAAAAAAAAAAAAAAAAAAATGAGGGGGGTGTGGTATTTAAAGGACTGTCAAAATTTTTTAAAAGCCTTTTTATACCATTTATTATCATCAGATCATTTCAAAATTTCTCTTCAGTGTAGTAAGAGTATTAAGGTATTTTTCTAGCAAAAAATTCAAAAATCGGTAATTTCATCGATTTTGGGGTACCGAGTCTCCTTATGCACCTTATTATTTTAGTAATTGTTAGACAGTACACAGTTTCATATAAAACTGATCAATCCTATCATCGATTATTTTATGTGAAGTTTTACAGATGCGAAATGTTTCGATATTTATTCATCTTACTCTCGAATTAAAAAAAAATCGCTTTTTCAAATTCTAATGATGTGAACGTACATATAAATTTTGACTTAAGAACAGACTTTGAACTTGATGTTTTCACTTGTGTTTTAATCAACAGCTTTAAAAAAAAATACTGATATAAATTTTGACTCAAGAACAGACTTTGAACTTGATGTTTTCACTTGTGTTTTAATCAACAGCTTTAAAAAAATACTGATATAAATTTTGACTCAAGAACAGACTTTGAACTTGATGTTTTCACTTGTGTTTTAATCAACAGCTTTAAAAAAAATACTGATATAAATTTTGACTCAAGAACAGACTTTGAACTTGATGTTTTCACTTGTGTTTTAATCAACAGCTTTAAAAAAATACTGATATAAATTTTCTGCTTGAATTACCGTTAGGCTAATTTACCACATTTTGAATTACTTCAACATTTTCTATTTCTGTTAAGCCAGAAGTGTGCTTAGCTTAACAGGAGTACGTAATGTTGAACTAATTCAAAATTTACCAACTTGTGTAAAATTTATCTGCATAACTTGTGTAAACCCAAGTTTGGTCATTATTAATACTTTGTATTCAAGTAAAACGGCTATTTACACCATTCTTTTGACTTTGTGTCTGCAGTTTAAAACAAGAGGATTATTCCTCTGTAGTCTTTCTAGAGTTCACCAGTTTATGCTACCAAAGAAGGTGAAACTCTACATATATTTTATTAATTTTTAAATTTTGACTTCAAAGTAAATTTCATGTATTTTAAGCATTATTTTATTTCTATTTCTTTGAAAATACAAAAAACTCCAAGAATACGCCAAAATGTTAAACAAATAACTATGGGAAAGCTATTTGTTTGATATTAAGCCTCTAGCCAAATATTTTGGAAAACAATATTTAAGACTTGAGCACTTTCTGTAGACAAACTCTCGTTTCATTGTAAAGCTGATAAGCATTTCTATCATTACAATAAGAAAAAAAGTTTTAATCCGATTATATTAATATTCACAGCATAAATATTCTCTCCAGTATTTATATGTATGTATTCAGAAACGCGTGTATGAGAAAATTTTAAAAACAGAAGGAAAAGAGAAAAAGAAAACGCTTTTAATATACAATATTTAATACGTAAAAAGGTTTTATTCTGCTAGAAAACCTGACCTCACATTTTTTAAAAACGTAGAAACAAAATTTGTTTAAAAGAATCTTCATAAACTAAATTTTCCTTGCTCGAGAACTTAAATTTATTTTAATCTCTTTTCTACTTTGATATTCGGAAGTTAAAAAAATAAATTCTAAATAGCTAGTAAAAGAAAGTATTAAAACATTATACTTTGATTTAGGTAACTAAACAGCTTATTATAACACGAAAGGCTAAATTAATAAAAAATATTCGGAAGCATATTTGAAGAATTCTTTTGCATTCTAAAGATTATTCTGAATTTTTTGCAAAAGGTTTGTTGAGAACAATAGTTTACTTACTGAAAATTCATTGTTTCCGACATGATGTCATATATCTCTCTAGCAATTCCCTCCAGCCGCGTCTCATTTCCTTCAACTTTCAAAACTGAATATGGATTCCACTGAAAAGGGAGTAAACACATCTCAGATAATTTTAACTATAACTTACATCCTTTACTATAAGATAAAATTCTTAGTTGTATACAGGGCATTAAGAAGAAATAATATCTGATCCCTTTTCACTTTCTTGTGCGAAGTAAAGGAAGTATAGTAATCGCGAAAAATATAACTTTCACGGGAAATTTTATAAGTGCAGTCTTTAAAATAGAGCATATCTAAGTGTATAAAATATTGTCTGGTATAATTTTTGATATTGTAAGATGAAAATTTGTCGTATAAATTAATACTTTTTTAAGTTACTAAATCTTAGGTACCCTAAACTAGCAACGTATAGTTTCTTTCACGAGCACAAACAGTTGGGATTGTCGATGAGACGTAAGTTAGGAGTTTTAGAGTTGTTTCAATAGTGAACGAAATCTGTTCGAAAGATGTCTGTAATTCAGTCTCATTTATTGCTTATTTATTGATTTGAAAGGCATGCAGTGAGGTCTGTTTAGTGTCTATTAAGTACTGAATAGATGTTTAAATCGTGAGAGAGTGCTTACGCAAATGAAGTAAATATAAGTCATATGAATGTTCACTGAACTATTTCTGAGAGGCTTTCTGTACGTGATCAGGTACTGCATTACTTTTCTGGTGCAAATCATCACTTTAATAATCACAGCTAGCAATATGATGCACATAAAGATGGTACGCAGTTGCTGTAAGTACGTCATTCTTCTCGGTGGGAATTTCAATTACTTTTGAGGCTCTCTACAATATATCCCATACCATGACACAGCCATACCAATTTTATCAACACATTGTACGAATACAGGCATCTGTTGGAAACTAATTTAAGTTACGAAATTCTTATATTTTATATGACTAAATGAACAGAATTCTGCGTTTAAAAACATTCACACATGATTCAGAAGAGATTTATTTTGAAGCAGATATCTTTTTCTTTCATACTTCGATGTGTCTGTGTTACAATAAATTAAAAGTAAACATTAAGCGCTTTAAGCAAAACAGTTGGAAAAGTGATTTTCGAGATATTTTCTGTGTCCCCCGTGGTATAGTAATGATGTATTTTCCTTCAGGAGAAGCATGTTAGCGATGCCACTTTGACAGCAGTAGTTGTCTTTCCTTGATGAATGACTATCAGATTTCATCGAATACCGTTATATAGTTCTGTGATTAAGGGGACTCATACACCTTAAAACCCATAAGATGTTCGAATATGTGACTGTTGCAAGAATTGGATAACTTATTTATTTTAAAAGCAATTATTACCAACTTTTTACAGCTGACTACAAAATATAACTGCTTTCTGAAATAGTAATCAGAAAGTTTGTGTTGCCACAAATATTTTTATAATTTAACCCGCTTTGTGACAACATTTTTCGTCATGTTTCCAACTTGCGCGCACAGTTTAAAACATTCTGTTGCATAATTTAATTCCCTATTTAATATATAGCTTTTATAACATTTCTAAACTACTGTGAACTAAAAATCCTAAGAATTGCATGTTAAATTTTTATTTTATTTAGAGTTGAGTTTATAAAATGAATTTTACTAAAAAAAATCTGTAATGTTTTCGTGCCTAACATTTTTTAATATTAAAATATTCATTAGATTTTTAATTCAGTTAGAAGATAATGCCCATATAAAGAATTCCATCAAATTACAAGTATGTGTCATTAGCCATTTTTAAAATATCATGCGCGCAATGTGGAAACAAGCCGTGAACGCATCAAAATTTTGTCACAAAGCAGATTAAATTATAAAAATATTTGTGGCAACACAAAATTTCTGGTACTAGTTTCCAAATCAGCTATATTATGTAGTCAGCTGTAAAAAGTTGGAAGTAATTGCTTTTAAAATAAATAAAATATCCCAATTCTTGCAACAGTCACATATTCGAAGATCATGAGGAGTTTAAGGTGTATGAGTCCCCTTAAAACAGCTTAAAATTTGAAATGGGTATCATTTGATTTAGTGGTCTCCTTCTCTGGATTGCCATAATTCTCGAACGCAGAAAGTCTTGTTCTTGCGCCATCCTTGGACACCACAATTACTCGTTTTACATACAACTGACGTTTGTCCAGAATTGACTTAATTTTTAGTATACTAGTCCTCCCCTACTGCTATATAATTTTGCTGAAATTCTATAGTTGCAATCCCGGATATAGAGTTTCCCATCCATTAAGCCCGTAAAACGTACCCACAACCCATGTACGTCAAACCTAAACTGAAACCTGTTCGTAGCAGTTATTCATTTCTCAGCTTCTTCCTTTTTAAGTTACAACCATTTTCACGGTGGAAGAAGTAACCAGAAACTTAGAAGAGAGCTGTGCTTATTGTTCTGGCACTTCATTTCAATTAAATGTCAGAATAATAACACTCACAAAGGACTCCTTAATTTAACTACACAACTTCCTATTAAAAAAGGAAAAAAAATTAAGTTGTTAAAACTAATGAACTATTATGGATGAGTAAACACTTTTCTTCTTAACATGTGAAATACAAATATTTACTTTATATTAACAAATTAATTTTGGGGTAATATGGAAATCCTTAGAAATGTAAACAAAAATTCTCATCAAGAAATTTATCTTCCTCTTCCACAGATAATGAGCGCACTTTTAAATACTATAATTGAACATATCAGTGCTATATATTCAGAAAAAAATTCATTGTTAACTAATTGTTCAGTGATTTTATAATGCATGAAATATATATAGCATTTTAATAATTGTTTAAATTTGCCATTACACACTTATCAAATCTTGGAGTGTGTTGTGATGCATTAAAAATGATTTAATTAAATCTGCTTACCGTGCCAAACCTTACTCTAAACTTCTGCATATTTAAACCAGCCAGAGTAAGCTCAAAGAAAGAATTTCCTGTCTTTGAAACGTCAGAATAATAAGAAAATGGAAAAAAGTTGAGAAATGTTTTTCTAAGGGAGAAAGCTTTTAAAAACCTTTTAGCTGAAAAACAGGTTCTTTAATGTAAGCATCTATTACTGACAAAAATCACTCTAAGTGTGGGGTGGGGTCAAAAATTATATTCTCTACTATGACTATACACTTAAGAAATGTATTTTACTCGCACTCATTTTATTGCCTTATAACTGACTGCATACAGACAGCCACGCATTAGGTTTCAAGATTTAGTGTGACCTATCACGCTTGGTCGAAGGTTTATAGCTTTGAAGTATTCAAATTATATTTTTTACCCTTTTATCCTTTCATAGAGATCTGATACTATAAGAGAACAGGTAATATAAAGGTTTCTTTCGTGTTCAGCTGTGATTTAGACTCACACGCAATGTCTTATGATTTCAATTACATTGTGGCCCATTTAGGAGATTTCAATAAATGTCATTATTATTTGTTCAAAGAGACATATTCCTTGATTTTCATGCACGCATGTTTAATGCTGAAATTATATTTGTTTTTCACTTTAACGTTTGATAGATGAACCTTGAACAAATTAGGTGCAAGCTTCGTGTCACTGTAAGTATGTTCGTACTTAAGCTAATGTGATTTCCATGCAACACAAAAATATTATATTTCAATCAGTCCTTTGAGTATATTATTAACAGATTCTTAGCTCTTAAAATGTTAGCAAAACTGGTTGAAGATTCGGATACAAGATTTGGATACAAGATTCCAGTTACTTGATTTTTAAGCAGATTTTTACCCACCGCTTTTATTACCAAATTTTGCATTTTAATTGACGTGCTGCTAACGTAAAAGTTTTAAGATCTGTCTTTCATTGAAAGTTTGTAAATCATAACTTTTGTTCTGCAATTTATTAGGAAAAATGGCTTGTTAAGAATTTCTACTACAAAACATTGTAAAATGTAACTGAATAGCAAAGAAGTCTCAGACATAAAAATTAATCGCATAAAAATTAAATCACATCCACAAGTAAAATCATTCTTAGAAAATTTAGCTGTTCGAAGGAAATCACCGTTTTTACATGAAAATCTCAACATTAGGTTATAACGTATTTTCTCCGTCCTTTCTGCATGCTTTCGTGGTGTAACGGTAGCACGCTCGGTGCGTATTCCAGACAAAGAATCTCTAAGGAGAAGAAGTAAAGGTTCCCCGGGGCAAATGTGGCTCCGTCAGACCGAAGAGACACATTATGTATATCCCTGAAGCTTACTTTAAAGGGGCAAACCATTCCAAAGCTATTCACCCTCCGTACCTCACTGCGCATGTGCGAAATAACATCAGGAGGCAACAAAGCAGCATCAAAAATGGAAGGCATCGGCCATGCGTCTCCATGTTAGCAATCTTTTACCCACGTTGTTCGAAAACGTTCTTTGTTGTTGTAGTCAGAGGTACTTGGTTTTAGCTATGTGAAATTCTTTTAAAGACTTTTTAAATGTAATGCTGTAAGTGAAAGTGGTTTTGGCTATTGGGTGAAAAACTTTGCTCTTGGTTTTCATAATGGTCATTCCAAAATAATTGTCTAAAACGTTTTTCATGGTAATTTTTTTTAAAGTTGTTGTCGGATAATTATAATGTATTTCAGTGTTTTCAATTTATTTAGGGGTGCCTTTAATTGTCTTTAAATATTTTTTCTGTTTCAGTTTAGTTTTATTGCAAATTTTGCTTTTTTTAAAATTTCACTGTAAAATTTTAACTATGGATCCATAAAAATTTATTACGCTTTGTATGGCATGTGTTTTCCCCCTTTTTAAGTTTACAGAAGAAAAGAATTAAGAAATTTATTTCATTTAAATTTTGTCTTCGTACGGCTCGCTGTTTAAATTGAAAGTAAAAATTGGACAGGATTTCTATAATTCGCTCCAAAATTCCACCTAACATCCTTTTGCTCATAAAACTCCAGAAATGTATGAAAATAAAACATTTTGAGTTATTTCAAAGTAAAAAATTTACTATCTCCTCGAACTGCGCTGTTTAAATTTCACCCTGCGCTGGTGTTTCACTGTATAGCCGTGGCTCTTCGGTACAGCGGCGCAGAGGCGAAACAGGTTTACATTGCGTCTATGGAAGCTTTCATTCTTCTCCTTAGAGATTCTTTGTTCCAGAGGTCCAGTGCGTATTCGAGAGGTCCAGCGCGTATTCGAGAGTCCCGGCGAAGGCATCAAAATAACCCAATGTCTCTACAAATTAAACGAAAACAAGATTTTGATATAATGGCTATTTTTAAAATTGAAATTAACAGATTCAAAAATTGCTAACTGCATGTAATGTTTTCATTACTCTTGTCGATTATTTTATAACCGATAAAAGATCTTGTCGCTTAGTTCAGTCATTACTATTCATTACGCTTAGTGCAGTCAGGGCCGAAAATATCCTGCTGTCAGATCATTCTTAATTCGAGTTATAAAACAGAAATATTACTTATATAGAAAAAATATAGTATATAATGTAGAATATAGATAAAATAACTTGATATTATTTATGAAAAAGACAAAAACCATGTAGTACGAAGAGGTAGAAGCAAAAACAAATGTTATTTAAGTGAAAGACCAAAAGATATACCTTCACATAAAGAATGCTATATAGAAATATAATTTTTCCTCAAATATCATTTTCAGTTAATAAGGCGCTGAGTTACAAAACATAAGGCAGACAGTTTTTGCAGAATCTTTCATGGACCCTACAATGTTTCTGGACTTAAAAAATAATTTTCAAGTGCCTTTATATTTGTCACGCGCACTGGAAGCCTAAACAATCATTGCATGCATTTCACAAATTCAAATGAATGTTTTGTAGGTAATATATAGCAACATGATACATAAAATAGAAAGTCTAATTTGTGTGCGTACGACACAGAATTGTACTATGAAATGGACAAGAAAAGATTTAACATGCGACAGCGAAATCTTAGGGGGAGGTGGGAAGAAACTGAATACTTTGAAAACAAATGCAGCTTCTTGTTTAAAGAATGCGATGCTTCTAAGTCATATGCACTCGTATAGTTTCATTCCATGCTCTTAATAATAATGTGGCTATTCCTTCTTCTTCTTTTTGAGTTTGGGGATTAGTATGTTTCACTCGTCATGCGGTCTTTAAGCCCCTGAGATCTGTAGAAGAATACTCCTCCTCCTCGATTTCGGGGATGATATTTTCCTCGTCCAATAATACGGTCTTTAAGCCCCTGAGATCTGTAGAAGAATCCTCCTTCTGGAGTTTAGGGATTATATTTCACTCATCCAACAATACGGTCTTTAAGCCCTTGAGATCTGTAGAAGAATTTCGCCATGCAGTAACTCTGATAAGAGGATCTTATTAATTATATATTATATTATTATCCCTGTAAAACTTTTTGTGCCGCGAAGTCCAAGCAGAAGATCTAACTAGTCGATTCACTCGCTGAACGTTTCAGTTTCAAGAAATTGTTAACCAGGTTTCCATGATGTGGATCCGCATAACTTTCCGGAAGAAAACATCAGATCCCCCAGATACATCTGAAAAGCCTGGAAAGGTTATAAAGCCTCTGAAATGAGTTATAAGTCTTCATGCTCGATTCTTTAACTCGGATGTCCAAGGATTACATTCGCCACAGAGAATGTTTCTTGAATTAGAGATACAGACGAAAAGAAGCCTCGATGGTCAAACATTTGATTGCATCTTTGCGCATACAACATATTATTTCTTCATCTCTCTCCATTAAAAGACATCTTTAAAAAGTAAACAGTTATAAATATTATAAATAAATATTATTCGAAACATCTTTATGAATAGTTTTGCATTGTGTGATTATATACCAAATATTTTTAATTTTCCCGACTTGAATTATTCAGGATTACAGATATATCTGCTATAACACTCATTTAACCAACTAAAATACATTATAAATTTGTTTATGTGTTCATACTAAGATGTAAATGTTATGCAAGCTTGAAAATCTATAACTGGATTTCTCGAAACAATTACAACTGATTTATTTATATCAGAATTAAACAAAACAGATTTTAGCTATTTTGTTAATTTGCTTTATTGTTTCTTTTGAAAAATCTTTTTAAGATAAAGATTCTAGTATTCTACATTTATATCAATTGAAGAAACTCAATTAGAATTCTAAGTGATTTAAAAATTTTCTGACTGGATTTTATATTTGCAGCTTTGTATCTGAGAATGAATATGTCCAAAATTCAATTTAATTTTCAAAAATTATAAGTTAGAATAAAATTTAGATGCCAAATACTTTTTCCCCGAACGAAGTACTGCGTAATCTTTTAAAATTGTCTAAATATCAGAAATAAATCTTCCTATAAAAGCAAGGTTATCCTGCTTTCAAAATAATAATTTTAGACCTGTCTAGTCTAATAAGTAATTACTGTGTAATTAGATATAATAAGGACTTTTTAATAAACTTCTGTTTGAATATTAAAATTTAATTCATCAAAAGGAAATAGTATCTGTGAGCTAAACGATTTTTATTTACAAGGTCTGTAAACAAAAAGAAAGTTTAGAAGTTCCTGTTCTGCATGCTTTAATAGTAGTTTTATTCAAATCCCTTAAAAATTAAATTTAATTTTAAAATTTAGAGAAGTCATGTATAATAATAATGTTATGTCATCTTTCCTTTTATTACCTTTGCTTCATTTAAAAAAATTCCTTCATTATTTTGAAAAATAGTAAAATCTACAGGAATATTTCTTAAAGGTTAGGTTAAATAATTCATTTCTGATTTTACAATTATAATGAATAATAGCTATTATATTAAAATCCGAAGCGTGTATTAAATTAACATAGGCAAAAGAGCTAATCTCAGAAAAGAGACTAGTTTGGTGTTTTACTTTTTTAGTTTGCAAGCGCCTTTCCTATACTTTTTATAACTTAGTTTTCATATTTTTATTTACCGTTGCATGGGATATACAAATATTGATACTAGAAGCTGCTACGTTCGCAACTTGATAATCGGAAATATTTTTCTGTTTGTGAAGACTG